AGCAAGACACTGAAAAGGGGAGGGGGAAGTGTTTCGTCACCAATAGCCATGGGCTTCCACCTCCTGGTGACCCTCACTCACATACAAACAACCCGCACCCCAGGCACAAAATGACACAAACAACACATAACACTTGCGTTAACTAACAGCCAACGACATAAAAAAACAAGTCCCTTTTTCGGAGGGTGCACGTCTCCCATGAGCCTCCTCACATGGTCCTACACATGGCCAGAGCTTCTCAGAGGCTGCGTGGCAAATAGCGGCGCACTACAATACGTTGTAATACAATATGAAACTAGTATTTTGGACACGGAAGAAAATAAAAGGCTAAAGCTAATAACAAAATTATTCCTAAAAATTATTCCTATTATATCCTAATAGAACATAAAAAATTGAAGCCCATTCCTGCCCAATTCTGGCAGTAGTATTTTCAAAATTTTGATTTAGTGTCTTGGAATAATGACTTACACCAATCAGGCATAACATTATGACCACCTCCTTGTTTCTACGCTCATTGTCCATTTTATCAGCTCCACTTACTATATAGGTGCACTTTGTAGTTCTACAGTTACAGACTGTAGTCCATCTGTTTCTCTGCACACTTTGTTAGCCCCCTTTTACCCTGTTCTTCAGTGGTCAGGACCCCTATGGACCCTCACAGAGCAGGTACTATTTGGATCATTCTCAGCACTGCAGTAACACTGATGTGGTGGTGGTGTGTTAGTGTGTGTTGTGCTGGTCTGAGTGGATCAGACACCGTAGTTGTTATTTCAACATAATATCTTAAATAAAAAAAAAATCTATATATATCGTTGTTGGAACAAAACCTTGTATCTCCAAAATGGTAACTTTACAGGAGAAGGAGAAAACATACTTTAGTTTTAATGTAAGTCAATGGAACCAGACTTATTTCCAAGTAATTTTGGTTCGTTTCTTTGGGTCCATTTATCATCAAATTTTCACACAATGTTAAAGGCAACAGGTATTTTCAAATTATGTCAAAAACTGAAAAACAACAAAAATGGGGATGTTTTCTTCCGACAGCTGCGATATATGTCATTATTTTAAGATACAAGTCAATATTTTGACAGACTGCTGCCAGAACAGAAGCAGGCAATTTTTTCCCTCTACCTGACATGAGTGGGCATCCTGAAATTGACAGGTATGAATAAAACATATTTAAAAAATCAACATTTTGGCAGCATTACCCTTAATGGATGTTAACATTCAAAAGTTGAGAATGAAGATGTTGCACAGTACGTGTGACTGTTTCCTTTACCTTTTGCATAATCTGAACACTGAAAACAGCTTGCTAGCTAACTCTCCTAACTGCTGCGCTGGTTAATTCTGCTGTGAGTGAAAGGCTAGACTCCTCCTCTCTCCCATCCAGCAAGTCGAAGGCACATCTCTACTTAGCGTACACAATGAGGAAATGTCCAAAGTTCAAGCCTTTGCTGCTAAAGCGTATTCATTTTATCACATTTTGAAAGCCAGACCTAACAACTTCATCTTCACCTTCACTCTCAGACTTTACTTGCTATGTTTCTGTACAACTTCTCAACCATGCTGTTGTGTGGTTTCTCCAAATGGGTGTATAATTAAACAGCTTACTGGCTGTTGACAAGCTGCAAGCGTTATCGATTTCAGTGTAAATTAGAGAAAAAGTTTAGAAAGTTGAACGAAGTTTAATAAGGGTGTACATACAACTGTACCATCAATACACCGCCTGGTCTCTTCTGAAGGCCTCTGATTTGTACTGTAAAGTAAAGGGGGAGGGAAAGGGGGAGAGTTACAACTGCCCACTACCTCTAACAATCCTTTCTTCATGAAATGGCATTCAGACTGAGTCCAATCTCCTTATTTTTAGACTTCAGGACAGATCAATATGCTCAGAATGTCCTTAAACTAGTTAAACCTGTGTTCTGTAACCACCTTTACATTCATTATGCTGCCCTTATGTGAATCATATAAGCAGGTAATCATATCATTATGAGACATAAATATAAAAAGGCATGGAGTTTGACCTGCTTGCTGCTGTTCTTGGACAGTATTAGTGTTTTGGCTGTTTGTAGTTGCACTGAAGTTTGAAATGGGGTCAGCAGCTTCATTCTGTATTCAGGGAATACCGCAGTGTGCCTTAGTGCACTGCTATCAAAGGAGAGCATTCGGAAAACTCTTCTCTGCTTTATTAAATACATAATTAATACACTCCAGTCTGCGGAATTGGTCACATCGGAGACATATTTCTGTTGTTGCTTCTAATTGAATCATACTGGCCACTCAATGCTATATATCACCGTGAGCTTGATTAGGGACGCCAATGCACCACAGTACAAGCTCAACTAGTGGATCTTTAAACATTGGCTGAACACTAAAGATGATAGAGGTGATGTTACCCTGTATGACTTATACACACATATATAAGTCTGAGCAGTTAGTTATAGGGATGTAATGATACACAAGTTTCAATTCACAATACTGGATTCACGGCTTATTCATTTGTCAAATTTGGTGCGCAAACATTGCGCTTGCGTTAGACGGTGTAATTAGGAGACTGGTCATTCTCCATGATGCATTGTCACATCTTCAGGATGCACGATGTCACATTTCTATACTGCATATCAAAATGTCACAATATACTGTTACACCCTAATAAATTACCATGGAATCCCAGGCAAGATATGGCTGCTGGGAACCTGTTTGTCCAGTGCAGGTAAAAACAATGGTTGATCCTAAAAATGATCAAAATTTACATACTGTTCCCCTTTCCATCAATTCAGTAAATCAGCCAAGACATATTAGTTTTGCTCTGGGGCTACAAAGACTAACCTCTTCCCCTGCCTAAAAAACAACAGAGACCAGCAGTCCATGGTCATGCTGGTTGACAAGAATACCAGCATCCAAACCACAACATATGCTGCTTTTGCTGGTGACCAGCTGTGCTGAGTTGAGCTGGTTCTTCTAGCATGGTTTGCAGGCCCCCTAGTGGCCATTCTGCCAGTGCAATGTAAATCAACTCAGATATTTATAAGTATAGAATCAAATGGAATATTTTCCCCTCAAGTTTGTTATCAGATTAACTAGGACACTGTCGGCTCTCTGAGTGAAATGTTGTGAGTCTGCATAGAGCTGCTAGTAAGCAATGAGGGGTGAACGAGTAGGGGTCAGAAAACATTTGACACCTGTCCACGAAGACGAGATGCCGAGATCAAACAGACACAATGGCAGCTTTCTTCATATCAAGCAAAATGGTGTACAACTACCACAATTACCACATCTGCCACAAAAAAACATCTAAAAACAATAAAAACAGTTGTTACTGCTGAAATACAGCACAGACCAGCACACATTTTGTGTCTAAGCTGGTCTAAGCTGGTTTATGCAGGTCTTGTGCTGGCCTGGTTCTTGTTTAGCTGGTCACCCCAGCATAGTCATGCTGGTTAGCCAGCATAAGATCATCAAAACACAACATAAACTGGCTTTGGTGCTGGTCAGTGTATCAATTTCCATTGCTGCCGAGCAGCATACCAGCATCCAAAACACAACGTGTCCATCTATGCCAGGAGTGCACAGCTCTGGTCCTGGAGTTCTGGTGTCCAGCACAGTTTGGAGGTTTCCCAGCTCAAACATACCCACTTAACCTGGCAATTAACAGATAAATGTAATTAGGTGTGTTGGAGCAGGTAAATCACCAAACTGTGCTGGACACTGACCTTTCAGGACCGGAGTTGTGCACCTCTGAGCGATGTTACAAAGACAAATATCCAGTTCCCAGTTTTGTAAATCAAATATATTTCCATCAAAACATTATATGCCATCAACATTATTGCAGAAAAGAAAAATGCATCATTCAACTGACTCTGAAACAGGCGCTAATTGCATTTTATGGCTGCTGTGAAAAGGGGCCTCATGTAACAAGCAAGTAATGGAAGTTTACAGCTAACAGGTTAGCCATGCACAAACTGCATGCCTCAGTCATCACACATTTGATGACTCCAACTGTCTCAAGTTGGGAAATCTTAAATAGTTTTACTACTTTTTTGAATTTTATAGACAACAGTATGTCATACAGTGTCAGAAGCCACAGAAGCAAGTGTGTTTTAGCAGTTAGATGCAGGTAGAACTATGCTAATTGGTGAATATGAGCTTCCATTACTTGGTAGCTACATTAGCCTCATAGCTCCAGCGCAAAACCGCAGAAATAATCTTCAGACATCAAACTTGTCTTGGCTGATTGAAGACGTGGGTTAAGGAGAAACTTTTGTAAAGACCTGTTTGGACAGGATAAATTTACATGGTGTCCTGGGCTAACGTCCTCTTTTACAGATGATACTCTGATTTTATTTCCATCTGGACTGGCCATGTCTGTGTTTCTCCCTCCTCTCCTGAGATAATCACACCAAATTCATTGTGTTGGAAAAAAATTTTATTTGACTGATGCTACTTGCTGTATTTAGTCTTCTTGCATGCATCCATATGAAACATTTTCCGAATCGTAAAAAAGAAGGATGCTTTGGAAGTCCTCAACCATTTTAATCAGTCTAGGTGGTAGACCTCCATCTCCATCCTCTTTACCACTGGGAGGAGGAGGAGAAACAAAAGAAAGTCTGTAAGTGAAGCAAGATCTCGGATGCAGAATACACAGGCGATTATAATGTATAAAGCACTTTTATTCTCACATAGCTACACAATGTCATCCGAGCATTACTTTATATGCAAATATCATCAACTTTTCATGCAAACTTTTCATACAGAGACTTATGACCACTTGTGATGCAAAAATCCAGGTTTGTTGTAATTACAGGAGATTTGTTTTTTTTTTACAGAACTCCCCGTAATTACTTAATCCAATCTGAATAGAGCTGAATAGAGTTTTATATGCATTTCCATTGGTCCATCTTCCTGTCACCTCCTTCCTCTGAAACTGAGTCTGTTGGCTGTTTCATCTCTCACCCTCCACCCCCCTCTGCTGTTGGAAGTGTTGGTCCATGCTGGTTAATAATTCAGCGTCAGCGTTGCTGTGCACAGGTCTTGGGTGTGTGTGTGTGTGTGTGTAGGATCGCTGGCTCACACACCGTCCTGCAGTCTCTGCTAAGACAGCTGCACCACTGAGAGTGAGAACAGCGAGATCCGGCGGTGCTGCAGAGCACATACACGCACAAGAAGACTGTACTCGCGCACACATCGTGCAGGGAGCACTGTGACTGCTCTTTCTCTGCTGTGGCTCTGTGTGGGTCATTTTCTCATACCACAACTCTCTCTCTCTCTTTCTCTCTCTCTCTCTCTATCTCTCCATCTTAAACACATATCACCTCCCTTCCTCTTCATCCTTCTGAATTCCTTCTCATTCTTCCCCCCATAATCCACCACATTTCATCAAGCAAGCCCCCCCACATCTCTCCTCAACCCCTGCAGAGACCGGGCTTAAGGGAAGATGTCTGAGGCTGGACCCAGGAGGGTTTTGAGGTGGCCTGGCTGGACTCTGCCCATGGCCACCTCTCTCTGCCTGCTGCTGCTGTGTGTGCTGTGCCTGGCCGAGGGGCGCCGGGCACCCAAAATCCCCCGCTGCCCACCCACCTGCTCCTGCACCAAGGACAGCGCCTTCTGCGTGGACACCAAAGCCATCCCCAAGAGCTTCCCACCTGGCATCATCTCACTGTGAGTACAAACCCAGCTTGCTCAGCCATCACACTGTCTGTCTGTCTGTCTGCGTGGTCATACCTGTTCAGTGCGCACTAGACTGAAGTTAGCCAACAGTTTGGCAGACTCTCTTATGTTATCACCTGCCTTCCCAGTCTGTGTATTTATTTGTACACTCTTGAAAAAAATGTTCCCTCAAAGGTTCTTTAGTAAAGAAAATGGTTCTATATAGAACAATGAGCACTAAAGAGTTCTTTGCATCATGAAAGGGTTCTTCAGATTGATGGAAAATGTGTGGTGTGGAAAAGGGTTCTATGTAGCACCAAAAAGGGTTCTTCTATTGTTACAAGCTTGACACTGTAAGCATAAAAGAACCTTTTTGGTGCTATATAGAACCACTTTCAAAAAGGTTTCGATATAGAACCACCTACAGCACATTCTCCATCAGTCTGACGAACCCTTTCATGATGCAAAGAACCCTTCAATCATGCAAAGTTCATGGTTCAAATTTCTTTACTAAAGAACCTTCGAAGGACCATCTTTTTGTATTCATACATGTCGGCTTGTCACAGTTATTACATAATCATATGTATTTGAGTTGATAACAATAATTTAAGCTGACCATATTTTTTTCTGTAGCAGAGGAGGAAGGTCCATTACCTTCCATAATCATAAATTCACATATGTGGCATATATGGTGAGCTGCGCTGAGTCAAGTGCCTATAAATTAAAGAAAGCAGAATATGCATGCAGATATATCATGGGTCCTATGAACTCTGACTTGGTGCTCTAAAACCTTTAGAGGGAAGTGTTGAGTAATGTTTGTTTATTTGAGCTCGAGGTGTTTTTCTTGTCAGTTGGGAGCTACTAAGTATCAACAGATAAACAGCAAACTTGGCCACCACGTCCTACATTTTTCTTGGATTTTAAAATGACCATAGTTCTATTTTCCTTACTTTTCCTTTCCTTAACTTTTCTTTATTCCATAGAATCAAACAGACTGTGTTTGTTATTATGTCTTTAAGACTGATATTTGCAAATGAGCTCTGTTCTGATTGGCTTTTCTGTATTGTGATTCATTCAGCAAGCACTCAGAGCTAAAACACTGCTTAGAACTTCAGTGCGAGTGGGCGGAGCTAAACTGCTGTAGGCTGAATAAGTATGTATAATTAAATGTGTTGGTTCTTGTGACATCATAGAAATAATGAATTCAAAATGAGCTATTTTTGCAGTGCAGTTACCATATTTGGACTGTATGGACTGGGATAGATAATGGTACACATCTAAAAAAAAAGGGTTCTTCAAGGGTTCTTCAAGGGTTCTTTAGCAAAAACAATGGTTCTATATAGAACTATTTCATGCTTAAATGGTTCTTTGCATGATGAAGTGGTTCTTCAGATTGATTGAGCATGTGTTGTATATGGTTCTACATAGAACCTTTTTGAAAATGTCTACATAGGACCAAAAAGGGTTCTTCTATTGTTACAAGCTTGACATTGTAACAATAGTAGAACCCTTTTTGGTGCAATATAGAACCATATACAACACATTCTCAATCAGTCTGAAGAACCATTTCACAATGCAAAGAACCATTTAAGCATGAAATGGTTCTATATAGAACTCATGGCTCTAAATAGAATCATTTCCTTTACTAAACCCTTAAAGAATCAACTTTTTGAGCAAAAAAAGACAATTGAATTGTTAATTGCAGTTATTCATATAGAAATTAATAGTTGGCTAAAATTTCACGATGCAGGCCCACATTTATGTCAAAATCAAAATCCCCCTTACCACAAGCATAATCAACCAGCCAAGACATGTTCTGAAGTTTGCTTCTTTGGTTCTACACTGGTGGTCATATTTTGGTCAGTTTTTTATTTTTCGCCACACTAACTCTTTAAAAGAGAGTTTGCCAGTGCAGGCCGGCTGTTAGAAGTGGCAGCCGATGTCAGGTGATGGATGACAGCACTTCTTTGAAACTGTCCATGTTACATACATAATTTAGGAAAAAGAGCATATTTTGTGTGTGAATGAGCTGCTCTAATCTGTGTAGTGCTTCTTACTGACAGACACATATCAGAAAAAAGACAGGAAAGGCTGTTGGAGTGTATTTTCCAGCAGCGAGACAAATTAGCCAATGACCCCTGTACTTCAGTGACGAAGGCCGAGGGCCAGCACATCTTCACGGTTTGATGAGGCAATAGAATGCGTTGCTTGAATATCTACCAGTTTGAGAGGTTTAATGCTGCTCCACTTTGTAACTAAGGGGTATTATTTGTCAGATGGATGGCAGCTGAGAACAGATGGAGAATCTCTCACTCCCTCCATCTCTGTCTCACTCTCTTGTGTGGTTGAACAGACTGGGTAGATGAGGTCAGCTTTGCCTGGCTAATAAAAGATGAGACACAGCCTCAGTATGTCTTTCTTTCTCTCTCTCCCTCTGCGTGCCTCATGAAGCCAACTTGCTTGAAGCGATAATGTGGTGAAATGTGGCGATTTTCCACAGTTTTACCCTCACCACAAACTTCATCACCCAACACGTGTGGTGTCAGAAGTGTGCTTATTTAGTTTTGCTCACAATTCTTTTTTTTTTTCATTACTATTTTCAAACTTTTCTTTATTCCATAGAATTAAACAGACTGTGTTTGTTACTATGTCTTTAAGACTGATATATGTAAACGAGCTCTGTTCTGATTGGCTGTTCTGTATTGTGCCTCATTCAGAAAGCACTCAGAGCTGAAACACTGCATAGATCTTCAGTGCGAGTGGGCGGAGCTAAACTGTGAATAGGTGGATATATGTAAACGTGTTGGTTCTCATGACATCACAGAAATAATGAATTCAAAATGAGCTATTTTTGTAGTTTAGGACTGTTGGGACAGGGTAGCTAATGGTACGCTCTTTAAAAAGATGGTTCTTCAAGGGTTCTTTGATAAAGGCAATAGTTCTAGATAGAACTATGGGTCCTCTGTAGAACCATTTACTGCTTAAATGCTTCTTTGCATAATGAAATGGTGCTTCAGATTGATGGAGTATGTATTGCACATGGTTCTATATAGAACCTTTTTGAAAATGGCTACATAGCACCAAAAAGGGTTCTTCTACTGTTACAGGCTTGACACGATAACAATAGCAGAACCCTTTTTGGTGCTATATAGAGCCATACACAACACATTCTCCATCAGTCTGAAGAACTATTTCACCATGCAAAGAATTATTTAACCCCTTAATGTTCCAGGCTTATTACATACTAAGGCTTATTATTCAGTAGCTAGAGGGACTTCAGTGCAAACTAATGGAGCTTTTCTTAGGTTATAGAAGTGTGTAATATGGCTTGGTAAGGGGTTAAGCATGAAATTGAACTACACAGAACCATTCCCTTTACTAAAGAACCCTTGAAGAACCATCTTCTTAAAGAATTTTACTCTGGGGCTACGATGCTAATGTAGCCTAGTAATGGGAGGCTACACCCTATTATTATTCTATTGAGATAGTGGATTGGCACCTGCAAAACTCAAGGGTTCAATATCGGTATAAGGAAAGAAAAAGTGATACTGTGCCATTTCTATTAATTGCCATTGTGCAAGCTGCAGGCCTGAAACATTGCCTTTGTCATCTTACTCAAATCCTTGTTGGCAAATTGTCTGTTTAAACTGGATTTAGAGCCATATTAACTGAGATACTGTGGTTGTGTGTGTGTGTGTGTGTGTGTGTGTGTGCAGGCCACAGAAAGCTCACTCCCAGCAGGGTTTACCAGCCGCAAGTCTCAGATCACATGAATAATTGCCATTCAGTGAAAGCTTGACTTCATTTTCATTGTTGGTTTATGCCTACGTGTCTATAATGTATCAAATAGCAGAAGAAACCACTTTGCCATGGCTGTAATATAAGCTCGGTGGTCTGGCCAAAAGTATGTGGACACCTGACCTTCTATATGAACTTGTTGGACATGCCAGTTCAAATTCATAGGCATTAATATGGAGTTGCCCCACTATGTGGCTATAACAGCTTCCATTTTTCTGGGAAGGCTTTGCAGTGTGTCTGTGTGAACATTTTCCCATTCAGCCTAAAGAGCATTTGTGAGGTCAGACACTGATGTTGGATGTGAAGGCCTGGCTCAATGTTCCACTTCATCCCAGAAGTTTTCAGTGGGGTTGAGGTCAGGGCTCGATGCAGGCCACTAGAGTTCCTCCACACCGAACTCATTAAACCATGTATTCATGGACCTCACTTGGTACTGTTGCCACAAAGTTGGAAGCATATAATTGTCTTTCTATGCTGTAGCATTAACATTACTCTAAGGGTCCAAGCCCAAGCCCTACAAAATAGCCCGAGACCATTAACCCTCCTCCACCACACCAGCCACAATTGAGAAGTTATATGAAAAGCTTATAAAATTGTTATGGTTAGCCCCTAAAATGGTCAGTGGGTACAAAATTTTACTATACACTTCCATAATCTAAGAGCAACTCAAATTTGCATTATAGTCTGTGTAAATACTGAATAATTAGCCTTAGCATACGATAAGCCTGGGATTTGAGGGGTTAAAAGATTATGTCTGAAAATGCCTGGCAAATTATACGCTATTAAAGACACTATCAATTAAAAACAAGTACGTTTAGGAATCAGAAGCTCTTCACAGACCAGTAATGAGCTCTAATATTTCTAATGATCTATGAAGCCTCACAAGGTGAAGGTGTCCTGGTTTTTCACTCAGAGAAGACCTGAAGATGTAAGGAACGAGAAAGAATGTGTCCTACTTTCAAGAGATTTAATCCTTCATCAAAATGAGAAAGCAGTCCAAGATCTGTCCGGGTCTGGAGAGTAATTACTTAAGGGGACGAGCCTTATAGAACAGCTCGATATATAGATCATGAGGGCACTTAACAGCGGGAATGGGCTCTCTCCAGAGAAGCTGTGTAGGTCCGGCCTAACTATGGATTTCAGATTTGTGGTATTATTAGCATTCAGTCATAGTGATGTTTACAGTAGGATTATGTTGCTCATGAGGAAAGGATCTGAAAGTACAATACTGGTCAGAATCACACCTGGTTGAATGTTTTTCATCATCTTAAAGACATTTCAGTCTGAAGGCTTATGCCTAAATGCTTGAAACTAAGTTTTAAGACAAATAAAAAGTGCCTATGTATTAATTTCTTTACAAAAAAAAGTCTTTTTTTTTTGCAAAAATCACAAGTAGTTTTTGGCATCCAAACAGGTATCAGTATGTGTGTATCTTCCTTAGTCCTGCTTTCCAAATGACTCCTCATGATGCTGCTTCAGAACATGCTAAGGGAGCGAAGCAGCATCAAGGTAAAGGGGGGGCTACACTGAAGAATCTATAATAGAACTTTTGAATTAGATTATTTATGTGTAACTTCATAGTTTGGTACCACTTCACGTGTATGCTCCACTGTAGATGTTTAACTTGTCATTAAACTAATCACCTTGATGTTTCCTGGTTACCTAGTAAACAGTAAGTAAATGTGACAACGAAACCGTAACATTTACCTTAACCTCAAGTCAGAATGGTGTCCTAATCCTAACCCTTAACCTTAAACCTAATACCGTTAGGGATCAACCAGCCTTTACTAGACTGTTAATAATTGGACCAGCTGTGGCTCATCTATATGAGACTATCCAAATAAAAAAGGACTCACAGCTTTAATACCTTCAGAGTTATTCTAAAATGTAGAAATGGTAATTATGAGCCCCTTAAACTCTGAGGGTGTGTTTTAAACTCCATCATTGACTACTCAGCATTCTGAGTGGAGATTCTTTGTTAGAAGGTAAACATCGTCCAGGACTTAGCCTAATCCTTGACCAGGAAACTGATCCTAAGGGTCCATATGTGGGCCGACACTTGGGTGTTTCACTTTTATAACCAACATATTAGTTATGTAGTAATTCGTTACAGAATAAATCAGAGCAGTAATTGGACAATGAGTCTTAATTATTTGTATTTATTTTAATTATTATTTTATTTTGCTTAGTTTCAGATTTTGAAACATACATTTTTTGTTCTACCATTTAATTATCATCTTATATACTTTTTACTCTTTTAACTTAATTAGAAAAAGATTGTTAGAATTTGCATAATTTTTTCTTTCTTTCCTTTTTTATTATGCTGGCTTCTATTTTTCCTTTTTCATTGTAAATCACTTGCATTTTAATGTATGTATGTATATATGTATTATTATTATTTATTTATTTATTTTTATTATTATTATCATTAAGCTTACTAAAAAGCCTATACACTAAAAAAGATGATGCTCCTTTTGGTAAAGAAAATGGTTCAATATAGAACCATTAACACTCAAAGAACCCTTCGCATGATTAAAGGGTTCTTTGCATCATGAAATCGTTCTTCAGATTGATGGAAAATGTGCTGTAGATGGTTCTATACAGCACCCAAAAGTGTTCTTCTGTTGTTACACTGATGGTTCTTCATGGGTTCTTTAGTAATGAAAATGGTTCTATATAGAATCATGAACATTCAAAGAACCCTGTGCATGTTTACAAGTTTTTGTTTAGCATAGTGAAAGGGTTCTTCAGATTGATTGACGTGCTATAGATTGTTCAATATAGAACCTTTTTGAAAAGGGTTCTATTTAGTACCAAAAAGGGTTCCTCTATTGTTTTGATGTCAAGCTTGTAAGAATAGAAGAACTCTTTTTGGTGCTATATAGAACTCTCATGCACAGGGTTCTTTGAATGTTCATGGTTCTATATAGAACCATTTTCTTTACTAAAGAACCCTTGAGTATAGTTAAAAAGAGCAAGTGTACCTATAGCATTGACTGGCACCATACGCTGCTAATCATAATTGCTCTTTTGCTTGCAGGACGATGGTGAACGCTGCCTTCACTGAGATTCCTGAGGGGGCGTTCTCTCACCTCCACCTGCTGCAGTTTCTGTGAGTAGAACACGCTTCACTGCAGCCCTTTCAGCCTTGCTTTGGGTACCTTAAGAGCCCAGTATCACCAATTTTTACCTTGATGTAAAGCTCCATACATTGAAAACTGAACTGCAGAGCCATCCCATTACGCATTAAACACATTATGCTGTCAGAGCTGTGAACATATTCACATGTACAACTCTACACTAAAGTTTGGACACACCTCTGGTCAAAATACATATTTTGTAAATCGATTTTTAAAGTGAAAATAGGTACACATGCTCTACAGACAACAAACCTAAACATGGCATTTTAGTTTCGTGTACAATTTCTTTTGCTGAGTTTAACATATTAACATATTAAATGTAAACAAAATTTAAACATTTGAAACCAGGAGCTTTAAAATCTGTGTGTGGTAAAACTGTGCTCATTATTACAAGAGTATTTTGAAAATGAATGCCTTGCGTTATTATATTATATTATATTATATTATATTATTATGTTTAAAGTATTCATTTGTTAATTTAAAAATTATTTATACATTTGTTCATTTTCTTCCCATTTGTTTGATTTATTTATGTATTTATTTATTTTGCAAAAAAATGTAACATTAAATATAAAACATGCCACAAATCTTGCCACACTTTATATTTGTATAATTAAAATTATAACAAAAAATCAAACATATTTATGTCCCAATATGCTAAATTCAGCAAATAAACGTAACTGTGTATCAAAATGTGCAGAAGTGTGTTCTCCAAAGAGGATGTCTGTAAACCGATTTTTCACAAACCAAAAACATGTAAAGTGACCAGGAGTGTCCCAAACTTTTGCACTCTACTGTGTCAGTCTTAGGGCTTTACATACAGAGCATGGTTCATTCATGCATACATGCAGAACTGAAGACATCTTGCACATCAAACGGCATCCGGACAGTGAAAATGCATCATTATTTTACTTGCCCTCATGAAAAACATACATAAAAGTGTTTTATGTGGAAATAAACGAAAAAATAAACGCCAGAGAAATGAAACGCACACAGGAACGTTACTCATGAGTGGCTCTTTCTGTGGAGAAGGAAGTGCAGCCAACCTTCTAAACAGAAAGAAGGGAAAGAAAGAACAGCCCACAGCACATTTGATCAGCAGCAGGTGTTGTTCTCTGAGCAGAGGTGGGAGTGAGTGTGTGCGGAGTGGAACACAGTGTGCAGTGCGGTGTGTATCAGTGACAGGGTCAGCGTCACTGCTGCAGTCCACACAGCCGGCAGCCTCTGCTTACACACTTCTCACACTCGCCAACAATAGCTGCTCTGTCCCGGCTGTGTGAGTGCGTGACTGAGAGAATTCATTTCAGTGAATCCCACAGACTTTTATTCACACCAGTCCAGAGCTGGATCCAGTAATTAATACTCCAGTATTTGTTAGTTACGTTGGAAAGACTTGGAATGTAAATTCATAAAATATGGTATTTTATTGAGAATTCTGAGAATAAATATTTACTTAGTAATACCCCTGTCTACTCATTCTCATGATCTTCAAACTGTGAGGTTTGTGAGGTTTTTACAAGCAAAAATGATGTTGTTTTTTTACTTTTGAGAGATTTTTGAAATTACTTTTTCTGCCATTTTCTTCAGTTTGTTTTGAGTTGGGTGGGACTCAGTTTGACCTTATGTGACGACAGACCTGCCAAAGTACCGATCAGAGTTAAAAGTATGTATATGTAGCATTCCTCTCACATAAACTGACTAGCCATGTTTACATTACATCCGTTAATAATCTGACTAATAGCTCAATCGGAATACAATCCATCCGTGTATACTTCTTAATCGGAATAGACGAGTCCGATTGAGGCCATTTGGAACACATTTTCTATCCGATACAATAGCCAATGAGCTGCTCCGCTTGCCAACCAATCATTACTAACCAATCAGTAGCAGTAATATATACGCAAATTTTCTTTGTTTTTTTTTTTTATGAAATACATCTACTTTATCAAATTAAAGGAAAATTCTGGGCAAGTGATCAGAAACTATTTTAACTTTTCACTTTTAGCCGCTGAGCTCCGTTTACTCCCATTCATTAAGGTCTCACGGGCGCCCTCTACTGTTTAGCAGTCCTGTTTTTTATATAATGGGGGAAATAAGAAGCAGCCACGCTCCTTTTAAACCGGCTCTGACCATTTTCACCGGAGTCGGGTTGTTTACATTGCCTGGAAAACAACATGGGCAATCATAGTGCGGTTTGACACACCCACACAGTTCCGAGCAGCAGCAGCTCAGAATGTTTTGTCTTGACAAGTTGGTCTCTTGTGTATGTGTTCTAGGCCGGACTTGTTGTTACGTGTGAATGTGTACACTGCCCAGCTTCTTACAAGAAAACTTCAGTTTTAAATTTACAAGTTTTTATTTTATTTTCCATTTTTGCTTAAAAAATGCACTTAATGTACATTTTGCAGTGTTGAGTTCCAGTAAATAGGATCCTACAATCTCTAAAGATATTAACATATCAAGTTAATATATATATTAGCTGGCTACATCAAGGGCAGAAGCATCAAATATACTCTACTTAGAGCGTGTCTCAAGTCTTTTACAGTATATGTTACCAAATTGAGAGTGAAACTGCCTAAAATGTGTATTTGTAAGCTCCTGCTGGTGTGGGTTCATACTGGTTTCCTCCCCTTTAATGGGACATGCAAAAATGATTTGAGTGCTCGTAGCCCCTTTGTGAAGCATATTCAGCCTGCTGCACAGGGGTGAGTGTGAGTCATAAGCGGGTTTGTTTATTATCCAGGATATTTTTCAATGTTACTGAAAGTATTATTCAGTGTTTATTAGACCTAAAAACAAAAAAAATATATTTTTTTAATTTTTTCTTTTTTTTTTTTTAACAGATATGTGATCAAAAATCAACAAACATCCAAATTTAAATTAATAATCTGAGGAAACTAAAAATGGGGAAAAATATATATACTTTTTTCTACAAAGGAATCACAAACTCTTTCTTTCTCTTTCTCCAACAGTCTGTTAAACTCCAACACATTCTCCCTGATTGCTGACGACGCCTTCGCTGGCCTCTCTCACTTGCAGTATCTGTGAGTATGTATGTACTACTGTCTTAAAACTCAAAGCCAATCAGGAGGAGCTGGATAAATCACAGCAATGGATGCGGTTTTGTCTGCAGTCTATTCAAAAGGGCCAAAATTAGTCCTCTAAATGCACAGCAGTAAGAAAGCAGGCAGAACAAAAGAAAGAAAAGGCCAGGATGTATGTCGCTCTGGCAGCTATGAAGGAGTGCTATTGATCCATCTACCTTTCTGCTCCTCCACAGCGAGGGGCACCACTTCCCTCCATCCACTCATTCCCTCTGAATGCTGAGGGGGCCATTTTCTTAATTGACGAACAATATCGCTCTGCTTATGGGCCTCCGGAGCGCCACGGCACAGCTGTGTTCTCTCCGGACATTTCTCGGCCCTCAGTGCCAAAGCTTTCAGCCAGAAGTTGAAGTTGAAGGAACAATATTTGCAAAGAGGCAGCTGAAGGTTGAGTGCTTTTACTCCTTAAATGGAACACGAGCGTCGTCTGCACTCAGTGACTTTAGGGCATTTAAAAACTTCGGTTGCGTCCCAATTGTGTACCACACACTAATACTATACCGTATATACTGCGTACTAATCTTAATAGCATGAGCTCGACAGGTTAGTACACAAAATATTAACATACTACACCATTCTTACTAACAGGAAGTGACTAACCATTGCTATGACATCGCACATCATAGCAAGCTAGACTCTGAAGGCTAGCTAACAAATGAATGTGTGTTCACAAACAAATTTCTTACAGAAACGCTAACAAATAAAAACATTAGAAAGTATAAAACATTTGTTTTTTTACAGAATATTTTATAAATTTGGGATGGGCTTGGAATAGACGTTTATACACCATTTCTGGTCCCGCTACCACCGCAGCTGCTGTCATGTTGCCGTCCACCATTTTTTCAGAATTATCCAGATGTGAGAAGCTCCTCCCTTTCTGTTTCCCGTTAGATTGTGGGACAATAGTGTCCATCATTACCATACTCAATAACCGACTGGTTCTAAGTATGCATTGTGGATTGTGGAGTATACTCAACTTTGACACTCGTGACTATACTACATACTCCATTTTGACTGAACAAAGGTGGTGTTATTGCACCCTAAACCCAGCGAAACCACTGATTTTAAAATGTTTTTTTGATTAGAGACATTAATGGCAGCAATTTATGTGTAATTTATTACAAGATGCTTGTTTTAAAGTACTGTATATAGTAGCCTCGGGACAGTAACTGACATTATTGAATACTGTGATCATTTGAATATGTGCCAATGTCACTATTTCCTTTTCCCTCATGTGCCAAACATTTTTTTCTTTATTGCATAGCTTTTATTTACCCATTTCCTTTGCACAATCATTCTAAACCACACTCTTCAAAAAAGATGGCTCTTCAAGGGTTCTTTATAAAGAAAATGGTTCTATGTAGAACCATGAAGAACTATTTGCATGATTACAGGGTTCTTTGCGTGGTGAAAGAGTTCGTCAGGCTGATTGGGAATGTGCTGTCCATGGTTCTATATAGAACCTTTTTGAAAAGGGTTCTATATAGCATCAAAAAGGGTTTTACTTTACTTACAAGCTTCACATTGTTACAATAGAAGAACTCTTTTTGGTGCTATATAGAACCCTTTTCAAAAAGGTTGTATATAGAACCATAAGTAACATCAATCTGAAGAACACTTTCATGATACAAAGAACCATTTAATCATGCAAAGGGTTCTTTAAGTCTTCATGGATCTATATAAAACCATTTCCTTTACTAAAGAACCCTTGAACAACCATTGTGTATGGTTAGTTAATAAATGTATGCAATAGAAAATATTGCAGTTAATTATAATAGAATTAATAGCTATATAATTATAATTATAGCTTTTCAAACTGTAGCTGTAATTGGATCATGATTATATTGTTTATTGCTATAATTCAGCCGTACACAGTATTAGTACACTGTCTTAAACTACAAAATGTGTGATATAAGAACATTGGATACTGTATATATCAGCAAAATGAAAACCTCGTATCTCCATTTTTGTCATTTTTGAGTTTTTGATATAATTTGAAAATGCCTGTTGACTTTTACAATGTGTGTAAATTTCATGATGAATGGACCAGAAGAAACGGCCCAAAATGACTTGGAAAAAAGTCTGGTTCCATTGACTTACATTAAAAAATAAGTATGTTTTTCCTTCTCCTGTAAAGTTGCCATTTTGGAGCTACAAGGTTTTCTTCTGACAACAGCGATTTACAGATATAATGTATATAACTGTATTGTTATTTGTAGTCTTAAAGGAACACGCTATGAGAATAATGTTGAACTGCTGAGCTGACACAGATACCCTGTGGTTCAGATTCGTGGCTAGATTGAAATGCTAATGAGCGTTAGCTTTTAGCAGTCCTGAGGCAGCAGCAGAGCTGTATGACTAAGTGTCCTGTTCAGCTGAGGCTGCATTCACTTGCTCACTTCTCGTTAGATCAGTTTAAAGAAGACTGATCGAATTGCGGTAATAAGCTAAAGTCCATGTCCGTTCCCCCAGGCTGTGAATCCATGATACACGCACTCAGTGCAGCTAACCAAGAGAAAAATGGACAGATTTCCTAAATGCTTTATAGTTTACCCCCCGACTTCACTTTTACTCTATTAGATCTGGCCATAGTCTGACCATAAGTTCCAAATCTAATGTTGAGATAGCATTTTTTCATGTTTGTTTTTGTGGTAAATTTGTCTTCATTTATTTCTTTGAAGCTACACTACGTAAGATTTTTGTTAAGATTAACAGAATAAGCAGTACTGAGTCAGGAGGAAATGTTTAGGTCTAAAATGCAAAATCAACGCTATACTGATGAAGATACGATGCCAGTAGTCAATAAATCACTTATATCCTCAGAAGACACAATTACGTAATAGCATAACTGAATTAACTACATACAGTCACATGCAAAAACTTGGACACCTGGTCAAATGTTGATGTAGTGAACATAAGTTTACACGTCCTATACAGAGAACAAACTTCTACACATTTTAATGAACGTTTATGGCTAATTTGCTGTATTTTTTAACACATAGGTGAAAAAATAAGATATAAAATGTGGCACATACAAATGTGATTGGATATTTTAAATTTGATGTTTTTTCTCTAATATGTTAAACTGAGCAAATAATTAAAAAATTGTGCACTACAATCACTACAATTTGCAGAAACAGGTCATATTTCAGTGTGTTCTCTGTAGAGGATGTGTTAACTCATTTACACTTAATCAACAAAATGTGTAATCTGGTGTTCAAACTGCTGCACACGACTGTAGCTGCTTACAGGATAAACTACATTTAAATTAGATTTGTATTCTGTGTCAGTTTGTTCGGGTTTGTACTTGTTCCCCATTTGTTTCAATGTAACAGAAAAAATGTACAGAATGTTTGTCTTTTGCACAAAACAAGACTCCACACACAACAGTAACTTTGTGAAATTAGTAATCTCTCATTTTATACTTAAAACCACAAATGTGATATTGATGAAAAGTTTAGAATCTGCACTTTTAGCAGAATTTGCCAACTTGTTTTAAGGAGCTGCAGGTGAGAAATGATTAAAGGGCCCATATAATGAAAAACTCACCTTTTTAAAATAAAAGTTTAATGAAGTATGCAAACACTGTTAATGTTTCACAGTTTTCCAGGCCATACATGGCCATATGTCAGAACTAAACTTCAGAAGCTTAAGTTTTGAATTCACTGGTTTTGTGATGTCACAAAACCCAGTGCATTAACACATATCCACATATTCAGCATGCAACAGTTTAGCCCCATTCTTTCACGCTGAAGTGAGTGTTTTTTTGATTGAGGCGCAGTACAGTACAGCCAATCAGAACAGCATATATTTGCATACATCACTCTTAAAGACACAGTAACAGCCTGAGATAAAGAGAGGATAGAAATTGTACTGTAAAATGAATTATATGATATCACATTATTATTAGTAGTAGTATATTATATTGTTGGTACACAAATGTCATAACAATTATGACCCCTTTAATATAAGAACAATTGATTCAATCTCATGAAGCAAAATGGCAGATATGGGTTCATTCGTTGTGTTTCTGAGAATATCCTCACTAAGAACTGACTCATCTTCTGTGGTTTGCAGACCACATGTCCAGCTCACTGTGGTGTGCTGAGCTTGTAGGAACAGATCCAGCCTGAATGGCCGTTGAAGAATCTGATCTAAGCTTGTCTGAGGTTTGACTTTTTGTGTTTTGCTGTGGCTGCCCTCTCCTCCAGCGGCGGACTGCTGAGTCCACTGTGCCTGCGTCAGGGAGTGAGCTACACAGGCATAGCAGACGACTAACCAGAGCTTTGTTTTTTCACTGGCACAGGAAAAACAATGACAGTCAGTTGATCGAAAACATATACTTTTGCATAAGTCATTCTTCTTTATTTGGCTTCGTAGCTAAAGCGATAATTCAGCCCAAAATCTAATTTACACAATTTCCCAATTAACCTAAACATAGTTGATCTGCCAAGACAAGTTTGTTGTCTGAAGTTTGGTTTAGTCCTAAGCTGGAGCTACAAAGCTAAGCTAAAGTTGAAACTTAAATTTTGTTCATTTTTACAGATAACAGATTGTCATACAGTGTCAGAAAGCTTATCGCTGCTGTCGGTACAAAACCTTGTATCTCCAAAATGGTAACTTTACAGGAGAAGAAAAAAACATACTTTACTTTTAATGTAAGTCAGTGGAACCAGACTTTTTTCCAAGTCATTTTGGGTCATTTCTTTTAGTCCATTCATCATGAAATAAGGAGCAACAGGTATTTTCAAAGAAGGAGCTCTGAGAACTTACTAAACTTGGTTCTTCTTGTTGTAAAAACAGGGCTCTTTCTCCAGGCTACGTGGAACTTTTAGAGTTATAACCAGTTTCACAACGGTTAGATAGCATAATGGGTAACATTACAGAACTGTTAGCTGAACAGTGAGGTTCAAATCTCTGCATATACAGTAACCTTAACATTTTTACCTGCCTAGTTAATGACTGTGTTTGGCTTTCCCAGGAAACATGATTGTCTGTAGTGATGAAAGTGATTACATTACATTTAAATTCACACATTCAAAATGTCTGAGGTGATTTCACTCTCGTCTCTGGTTCTGTGACCATGTGTATGTGTTGTCCGCCCCTTTGTACCCGGACCATTGTGCCTACCGTTAAATCCCAACTTAAGATTCAGGTAACGTTTTGGTCCATTTGCCAATGCAAAGCTAGTGGAATGACTGCAGAGAAAGAGAGAGAGATAGAGAGAGAGAGGGGGGAGAGAGAGAGAGAGAGAGAGAGAGAGAGAGAGAGAGAGAGAAATGAGAAGACACTGCACCATCTTCAATGTAATTAAGCTAAAAGGTTTTAGAAGATGAATGTAACACATAGAGCACACATGCAATGCCTCAATCTATTATGCAATCTTAATTGAATTCCACAGGACGGTGACTCATGAATCCATCAGAAAGAAAGAGGCAGGGGGGAGGGAGGGAGAGAGAGAGAGAGAGAGAGAGAGAGAGAGAGATGGGGGAGGGACTGGACAACATACAGCTACATCCATGTTATTAAGTGGAAAAACAGCAAGCAAGTGCACAAAATGAAATCGCTCTGCTGTTGTTTTTCTCTCATTGATATTACTCAACAAATGCATGCAAGTCAGTGAAACCTTCCCCCCGGACTACCTTCCATTGTTCAGCATCTTTCTTATACACCACGGTTAACAGATTAGCCACATTGTTGGCTGTAAGTGCACGTTTTTGTGCAACCTACCACTCAGTTGTCTAGCACTGCGCTTTTGTCGATGTTTTTGTTCCTGTCTCCACCCCTGTCCTGCCTCCTGATTATCTGTCTCACCTATTGCTTGTCTGTAGCCCCGTGCTCTCATTAACTTTAGGTGTTTCTTGGTTGTTCTCTTTGTAGTTATACCCCTGTTCTTTGCTCGGCATTGTTTGTTGTGTTCTCAGCTTAAGTGTAATCTTAAAAAGCTACCTAATCCATTTCCATGGAACCCCTTGACATAATATTTTTAAGTGAATCCTACATTTAATTTTTGATAATACGTAAAAACAATCAGTGCAGTTTTTCAGAATTTACTCAAATCACTTTAGTGTGATTTACTTGAATTGTTAAGTACATATTTGTAATGTGGTGGAAGATGTAGGATAAGGAAGCAGGAAGCAAGTGCAAGCTGGGAGCTTTATTGATGTCCATCTTGAAAACAGCAATAAATAACAGAAACATAGGAAAAGCTCTATTAGAAGAACTACAAACAGAGAACAAACAGAACAAAAGTACAAAATACTGGAGAGAAACAAACTAAAGCTGAATCTGAGAACACAACAAACAATGCCTATCAAGGAACAGGGCTATAAATACACAGAGAACAACCAAGGAACACCTGAGGCTAATGAGAGGGCGGTGCTACAGACTAGCAACAGGTGAGACAGATAACCTGGAGGCAGGACGGGGAAGGAAACAGGAACAAAAACATCAACAAAAGCACACTGCGAGACACATGAGGGAAGGTAAACAAAGTGAGATGTGGACAAAGAGAGCAAGGATGTTACAATGTTACTCAATCAAGTAACTTAGAAGCTGCTTAACACATTTGTGTGGAACCACTTGACATTTTTAAGGAATACAACGTTTAATTTTTGTGAATGTAGAAATGCAGAGAGGAGCACTAAAACTGTGTTTTGCTTACACTTCACACTTCTAAACCTTTGTAATTAGCCTGTCATACTTAGCTTTCCTTCATTGTATAGTCACACAAAGAATCACCTGGATGAAGGATGAGACTGTGCTTCTCCTGATTCATTCGTTTAACTCTTTTTTTTCTAACCCTTTTTTCTTTTTTCCTTCTGCCTTGCAGGTTCATTGAGAACAATGACATCCAGGCACTGTCCAAGCACACTTTCAGAGGCCTGAAGTCACTAACACATCTGTAGGTATCCACTACTGTCTTAACAGTGCAAAGCTGTGTATTAGCAGTTCTATGTATATATCTATGTATATAAGTGCAGTTTCTATGTATATATTTTATGTAGCATAAGTTGATTCCTAAATTTTTAGTCAAATATTTGAGGACTCTGATATCTGATATGATTCCAATATCATTTTGCCTCACTAATATAACATAAGCTCCACCCAATTTACAAAGCCAATATTATGCCAAAAAATATGTTGGTGTGTTAGTGTGTGTTGTGCTGGTACGAGTGGATCAGACACAGCAGTGCTGCTGGAGTTTGTAAGCACTGTGTCCACTCACTGTCCACTCTACTAGGCACCCTACTTTTGTAGATTATTTCGATCACCTCACACGAGCAAGACTTTTTACCCATTAGCGTTATTCAGTTTATAGTCATATTCCTCGTTCTGAGCGTCCAAGCTGGTCAAAACCTATTGAATGTTGGCAAATGTCCCCTTAGTATGTAAACCCCATACAATATTTAATAAAGCCATAATAAATCGTTGTTTCGTTTGTTTGTGGTCAGTCATAAAGTGGTCTTCCCTCTGTTTTGTAGTCATCGTTTGTGGTCATGTTAGTAACTAGGCCTGGAGCACACTAGGAGGTGCAGTGGAGGGAGCTCTAAAAATTCAAATGGACATTTTTGGCTTAAAAGTGTGTATTGTTTGCTTTGAATTCAACAAATATTGCAATGTTCAGTCCTAGTTTGACAGCCCTAGTAGTTACTCAAAAAGGAAACTATTACTAATTACTTCCCTGAAGCTGTAATGAGATTACTTTACTGATTTCTTCCTGGAAAAAAGCAGTCTCACTATTCATTACTTTACTGCTGTGGTACTCTCTAAAGCCCACACATCTGTACTAAGTGGTAAGCACAAGAGAAAAATCCAACAGTCCTTCCAGTGCTTTATTTAGAAAGCAATAGCCAATCACAGTATATATCATTGTCCCTGCCTTTGAACAAAACACATTCAGTTACACTTGATAAAGATTATTAATGGCTGACACTGTTTGAAAATTTAGAAACTAGCCAGTAAAAACAGTCCAGAAACAGCTGCCTTTGTGAATAAGTGTAAAATGCACAGAGCTGTTTAGATGAGGTTGGGTCTCTCTCTTCTTTAGCATGGTGATCTTATCCATCTCTTTCATATTAGTGTGGTTATTTGCTTTGACATCTTGTTTGCCAAGTTTACGGTCTTGTATAGTTTCCCGCATGTATGTTGTGCAGCTCACATTCACAACTGAACTGAAGCAGTCAGCGACACAGGTAGCACACACCAGTGTACATTATGCATAAAGACATGTATAATCTGTATAACAGGAATGTACACTGATCAGCCATAACATTAACACCACCTCCTTGTTTCTACACTCATTGTTCATTTTATCAGCTCCACTTACTATATAGGTGCACTTTGTAGTTCTACAATTACAGACTGCAGTTCATCTGTTCCTCTACATACTTTATTAGCCCCCTTTTACCCTGTTCCTCAATGGTAAGGACCCCCACAGGACCACCACAGAGCAGGTATTATTTGGGTGGTGGATCATTCTCAGCACTGCATTGACACTGATGTGGTGGTAGCATGTAAGTGTGTGTTGTGTTGGTGTGAGTGGATCAACACTGTGTCCACTCACTGTCCACTCTATTAGGCACACTACTTTTGTAGATGTAAAATCAGAGACAGTAGCTCATCTGTTGCTGCACAGTTTGTGTTGGTCATCTTCTAGTCCTTCATCAGTGGTCACAGGACGCTGCCCACAGGACGCTGTTGGCTGGATATTTTTGGTTGGTGGACTATTCTCAGTCCAGCAGTGACACCGAGGTGTTTAAACACTCCAGCAGCACTGCTGTGTCTGATCCACTCAGACCAGCGCAACATACACTAACACACCACCACCACGTCAGTGTTACTGCAGTGCTGAGAATGATCCACCACCCAAATAGTACCTGCTCAGCAAGGATCCATAGGGGTCCTGACCACTGAAGAACAGGGTAAAAGGGGGCAAACAAAGTTTGCAGAGACTACAGTCTGACTTAAAGGTGAGTGGAGCTGATAAAATGGACAATAAGTGTAGAAACAAGGAGGTGGTGTTAATGTTGTGGCCGATCAGTGTATGTTTTAAATGCATAGTGTTAAATGAATTTTGCTCCATTAGAGACATATGAGTGATGCAGTGATGAGTAATGAAATACGGATTAGGTCAGTAACTGCAATGTGATTACAAGAATTTGTACTGTAATGTGTTACTTGACTTCCTTACAGGAAAAAGTAATCACATTACTGTAACGCATTACTTTGTACCGAGTTATCCCCAACACTGTCAGAAACTGACCACTGATGAAAGGCTAGATGGGCAGATGAGCAACAGATAACCTACAGTCTCTAACTGTACACCAGAAGGTGGAGCTACTAGGTAGGCTTTCTAATGAAGTGGCTGATAAGTCTATATGCCTGACATGAAGGAACTTTTAAGATATTTTAGTGAACTTCTTGATTTATATGAAGCAAATAAGATTTGAGGCCATACTGTGCTCTAACACAGACTCTCTCTTGTGTCTTTGGCAGATCTTTGTCTAACAACAACCTGCAGGTTTTACCCAGAGAGCTCTTCAAACACCTGGACATCCTCACTGACCTGTGAGTCCACTTTTTAACACATTCCAGATGAAATTTACTGAATTGCATTTAGTGTCCATTTTAGCGTACTCTATGTACTACATGTACTTTATGCAGTCTACCATGCATACACTGCCATTCAAATGTTTGGAATCACTTATTAACATATTCATATCACTGTTGTCAGAAAAAACCCTTATCTCCATTTTTGTTTTTTTGATTTTTGACATAATTTGAAAGTATCTGTAGCCCTTTATATTGTGTGTAAATTTCACGATGAATGAACCCAAAAAATGGCCCAAAATGACTTGGGAAAACATCTGGTTCCATTGACTTACATTAAAAGTTCAGTAGGTTTTTTTCCCTTTTTCTGGTTAGTTACCATTTTGGAGAGGTAACAAGGTTTTCTTCTGACAACTGCGATATATACGTATATTTTCCATATGCAGTAAAAATTTATACAGTGAAGATGTAAATATTATGAACTAGACACCATTATTATTTCAGTTTTAGTACTATTTTAGATTTTCACATTTTATTCATCATTTTCAGATCAACAAGAAGTTATTAATTGATATATTATACACTGTAACCACACTTTAATGAACTATTCACAAAATTTGATTTGAGATTTGATCATCACTTTGTGAAGCTGCACAGGACTAGCAAGATGAATCAGCTTAGGCATAGATCTGCAGCCACATTGGTTATATATCACTGAAAACATTCATTCCAGACTTGAACGGTAGTGTGTTTAATTAAATAGAGGAAGTTGTTCTGCTTTGTCCTCAGAGACCTGCGAGGGAACTCGTTTCGCTGTGACTGTAAGATCAAGTGGCTGGTGGACTGGATGGAGAAGACCAACACCTCTGTTCCAGCTATATACTGCGCCAGTCCATTTGAGTTCCAGGGCCGACGCATCCATGACCTAACGCCACGAGACTTCAACTGCATTAGTGCGGGTACTGAAGGAACACTGCTATTCTGGGACTTCCCTAGGCAAAGAACTGTGGCCTAGGAGCAGCTCTCCTGCCCAAACAACCTATAGGATATGATGGTCAAGCATTCTGCATTATTCAAAGACAGCAGTAAAGCAAGCTGTAGCCTTTCTTACAGCCTCATCTGAAAAAGCTTTTATACATTCCTTCTGAGTTAGTTTTACATTCAAAAATGGTTGTTGTAAATAGAAACATTTTAAATTGAAAATGTTTTACTTTTGTTTATTTTTAGGGCAGGGATGACCAATTACAGCCATGAAATAGCTAAGTAGAAATTATAGTTTTTTAGGGTGAACATTCAGGGTAAATGCTACAATAAGAATATTTTTTCTTTCTTCATTGTTCTTTGATGTTTATTCATCCCGAGGTCTTTTTCCACCTGGTCAGTTTTTTTCAGATTTAACGCAGTGAAACCTTCACATCGACTCCGATGCGCGTTAACACTAAGAATGCGTGAAGAAGACTCGGTGGGAAGAAGACCACGTTTTCAATTTGTCAATCAGAACACACTTGCCCTCAGCTAGGTTAGCCTCAGTGAGCTATCCATGCAAATTTGGTAATGCAAAGCATTTTTTTTTTTGAGAATTTTGAACATAATATAGAAAAAAATGTTAATAATTGCTTATCTGGCCGTTAGCTTTGGTTGAAAATCATTGTTTATTGCATTAATTTTTTTGTTGCAAGCTGTGTAGCATTTAGCTTGCTAACCAGGAAGCTAGTAGAGTAATGAAGTTGTATCAGCAGTTGTGTATAACAGATGGAGTAGTTTGCTAAGTAAAACCCAATGTGAATAGAGCCAAAAAAACAATATGGGTTTGAAATATTAAACATCTACAGTGTTTTGTTGCTATAGCTAATAAACAGCTTTGGCTGCCATTTGTTTCTTTCAGGTTTGAAAAGGGAAAAGCGTCATGTTGCAATGATTTCAGGGCAAATTTGGTTCCTGAAGTAGACAGTAGTGTTCACTCGATTCCTCGCCCTCCAGAGGTTCATCTAAAACAACTTCATTTGAGCTAATATAGTAACGTAACGGCCCTTAGATAGTGTTGGAGGTTTTCCGAGGGGAAGAGACGAGGCCAAGTCAACGAGGACATGTTAAAATGGGTATTGTGTGAAGAGGCCTTGCGGCTTATAACTGAAGATTGGGACTCTCAATTTTTTTTAAATTGCTCATCATCTCAGCCCTATTCATTTTTATAGCTAACGATATGTCATACAGTGTTTAGCAAGTTATTGTGGGTTTGTTTGGTACAGTTTGAAGCGAGGGTGTGATGAATTTAGGCATGCAGTTTGCATGTGTTAGCTGATGGAGTGGATTTGAGTGAAGTAGGAAAGCAGCTTTGTTACTACAGCTTAGCAAAATAACCACAGTCAGCATGAAGTGGAAGTTCTGACCTTGAATAATCAAACCTTCTCAGCGGTTCAGGCAAGGATGAGTCTCTATGTTGTGCTGTGGATTTTAACTGCTAATGCCTGGGCACTGATGCCATTAGGAAGCAGCACTTGAGTATTCATTGTTTGTCCTTTGTTGCATTGATCTTTGTACTGACCCCTCTGTTCCTACAGATTTTGCGGTGTATGAGACCTACCCATTCCAGTCCCTATCCGTGGAGTCCTATGAGTTTAATGATGACCTCTATGTGGTGTTCGCTCAGCCAAATACAGGAATCTGCACCGTTTTCATCTGGGATCATGTGAACATGCTTTTCAAGAGCGATTACAACATAACATGTAAGTCGAAAACCACCCAAATACACTACTTACATTATTACCAAGTTTATAACATTAGTGGTATAACTTTATTTCCAAATGAACCTTTTTAATAACTTAAGCAATTATGTGTCTGTAAATCGAATCTGCATTAATGAGGGGAACCTTCATACTCAAACTCAGCAAATAAAAAGACAAAAATAGAGGGCATGTTAACTCATTTTCATGTAAAAAATCAACAAAACATAGAATATGATCAGAATTTTGCTTATGACTGTCCAGAATAATTGTCACTGATTATAATGAACAATTATAGTACAATAAAGGAAGGAATTAGCAATAGAAATACAAGCAGTCTGTCACAAATAGAGGCTTTTTTACATTCAGGAGTCCAGAAAATGAGACATATTCCTGATTATGTACTTTTTTTTGTTACTTCTAAGATATTTTAGTGATTTAAAATAACAAACTAACAGCCATTCGTAGCCAGGACTCCTACACTCTCAGGAATAAAGGTATAAAACTGTCACTGGGGCAGTTACCCTTTTGTCACTGGGGTGGTTCCCTCAAGGGTATATCTCAGTACCTTTAGTCAGGTTCCTATTCTGACAAACTGGAAAACAAGGGAAAAGATTAGCATCAATCAATGGAAAAACTTTCTAACAGAACACATAGCAAGGACAAAATCTCAAAGAAAAAAAAAGTCAGGGAATATAACTGTACCCTAATCCATTGAAATGAGATTTTTAAATAAGTTGTATTGACTCCACACCCCCGTCTCGTCTCCAGGCTTTTTATTTTATTGTTCTGTTTTAAAACATTAGATTATGAGAAGATACAAATATGTATTTTTCACCTGGAAAAAACTTAATTAAGTTACACAACTGGACCTTAAAACCACGGTTGTACCTTTGAGGGAACATTTACATTGTTTGTACCTTGATGAACAAAAAATTAAGAAACGTTGAGAAACGACTGGCTTCTTTTATCCTGGCCCTGGCTGTGTTGGTGCATGCTATATAAGATCAGTCACTTGTTTTGAAGATATTAGCAGACATGAGGGGTTCGTTTGAAACGATGTTTCAGATTCCCCTTTAAAATAAAGATTTCCATCACTCAAATCCTGCAAACAGCTGAAGCGTAAAAGCTCCCTGGGCTCCTGCTGTGTCTCCCTGCGCTAGTGCATCTAAAAGCAGATGCTATTCTTACTCCACTCAAGCTGCTTTTAACGTAATGGGCCTGGGCGTGAGGGAGAGAGAGAAAGGTGAGAGAGGTGACGGTAGGTTTTCTAGTCTCACTGGGAGTGGTACACTAGGAACAAAGGAGGAGGAAGGGAGGGATGGAAAAGGGGAGAGAAAGAGAAGATGTGGCATATGAGAAAGAGTGAAAGAAACGGAGCTGTCTGAAAAACCTGTTTTCTCTGTTATGTGTGTGTGTGTGTGTGTGTGTGTGTGTGTGTGTGTGTGTGTGTGTGTTTTCAGCTCGATCTGCGGTGTACTGCAAGCCTGTGGTTATCAACAACACCCTCTACATGGTTGTAGCCCAACTCTTTGGAGGATCTCATATCTATAAGTGAGATAATAATGCATGCAGTAATACTCACACTTGCTTAATATAGTCCCATTAATATGGACAATTAATATAGCCAGAGTACAAATGACTAGGGATGCATGATAATATTGGAATTACATTTTTATTGCAGTCTGCAAGAGCAGAACATTTAGGCATTGCTGGGTTACTGGACCAAAGAAATAAATGTAATATTTCTCTACAATGCAGATCCAAGTAGATGTAGTCCCAATTTCTACCTTTTAGAAATGTTCACATATTGCCATTGGCAGATACATGCATGAAAAACATGTGACATTGGCCCACAGTTCCCATATTGGTGCATCCCTACAAATTAATTGAAATTAGAATATGTAGTTCTTGAACTTTGATAATAGCATGCAAGGTTTCTCAGCCACTGTGCCATGGACCACAATGGGGCTGTGTGGCACCCTCCGGTGGTCCTTGTGACAGTACTGAAGAGGAGCCAGTGGTCTGTAATCGCACACTTGCAAGTGAAACATGTCTTTAATTTGCCAACTTTATGCTTGATTTCAAGTATAAAACAAGCATATGTTCAATGATACACATCACATAACATAGCATCCAAACATTACTTTTTCCTAAAAAAATTTGGTAATACTTTACTGTAGGGTACTGTTCATAAGGCTACATGACACCTATATAAGCTCATCATGACAGCTGACAAAACCTTACATAACTGTTTATAAATGCATATTCCAATAGGCATCATCTGTCACAACTTTAGCTAACTTTGATCAAAACTGGCAAAATTTATAGGCTTTAAACTTTACACAACACCTTTTGGAATAAGCATTTATAAACATTTATGTAGGGTTATGTCAGTTGTCATGATAAGCATGTAGGTGTCATAAAGCCTTATGACCAGTGTGCTACAGTAAAGTGTTACCAAAATTTCCTCCAGGACTTCATGGTTTCTAGCAATAAATAGGTGGACCCTGAGATGGAAAAAGGTTGAGAACCCCTGGTATAATGTATTTGAACATAATTATGAAGTGTATTGCCTGTCAAACATTTGGAGACCCATTTCTGCATTCAGAAATGTTCATTTTCTCACGGTAACTTTTCATTAAGTAGGAAAAATACATTTACTAATACTTTGGGTATATTTTGTACCATCAACGTCATTTTCAACAAAGTATCTACCCTGGTATACAGAGGAGGTATTGCCTTAAAGATTGATTTGACAGTTTTCCTTTCTTAAATATTGCTAAAAGCACATATTGAGTCTTTTGACCCATGAATGGTTTAAACACCTGAGAGGTTTGCTAATAAGTGATGATATCACAACAAGAGAAACAAATCTGTGGGCTTAACACAATTTTATTATTTTTTTTTTTACAAAGATTTACATATTAGGTTATTATATACAAAATGACCTGAAATGAAATGAACCTAGCCTTCTTTTAAGTTACTGCAAACCGGCATGCTCATTTATATTAAAGTCATGTCCCCAAAATGTTGATGGGCAGTTTTGAGGGTACAATTTCAACAGACTCATATGTCTTTCTTAAATGTTGTAACTTTGTTCTTTTTCCGGTCTGCAGGTGGGAAGAAGGGCCTTTGCGCTTCGTCAAAATCCAGGACATCGACACCACTCGTGTACGCAAACCCAACTTCATCGCCACCTTCCAGATCGAGGGGGACTGGTACTTCGCAGTGGTGGACAGCTCCAAGGCTGGCTCCACCAGCATCTACCGCTGGAACAGCAACGGCTTCTACTCCCACCAGTCCCTCCACCCATGGCACCGCGACACCCACATCGAGTTCCTGGAGGTTGACGGCAAGCCCCGCCTCATTCTCTCCAGTGCCTCGCAGCCCCCGGTGGTGTACCAGTGGAATCGCAACCTGCGTCAGTTCGCCTACCACTCCCAGCTCACGGACACGGGTGACGTTCAGATGGTGAAGCACTTCTGGGTGCGCAAGTCACTCTACCTGTGCCTCACACGCTTCATAGGAGACTCCAAGATCCTGCGGTGGGAGAGCCAACGTTTCGTGGAGATCCAGACCCTGCCGTCCCGTGGGTCAATGGCCGTTTACCCCTTCACCGTGGGAATCAGGCAGTACCTGCTGCTGGGAAGCGATTACTCCTTCTCCCGTGTCTACCTGTGGGATGACCTCACCCAGAGGTTCCAACCCTTCCAAGAGCTTAACATGTTAGCGCCACGCGGCTTTAGCTTGGTCTCCATCGACAACAAGGACATCCTACTTGCTGCCAGCTTCAAGGGGAAGACCATGGCCTATCAGCACCTAGTGGTGGACCTCAGTGCCAAGTAGACCATTTTATGATATTCCCATCCTGGTGGGGCAAGTTCTTGGAAGATCAGTGGGTTTGCTGGCTTCTGTCATGTTTTGGTGTAATGTACATGTAATGACTTGGAAGTTGTAGTTTGGCAACATATCAGATTTACACATTTTCCCCCTTCTTCCAAATCCAGTCAGTCAGCCAAGACTTATTTGGTATCTGAAGTCTGCTTTGTTAATTTTGCACTGTATCCACCAGTTAGCATTGTGCATAGTGTGGGTATAAATTCTCACTGTCAGATAGGCTTGCTAATGTGGTTTCTGACACTGCATTATGTACTGCATAATAAAAATCAACCTTTTCTCTCCCTATACAGATTCTGATATCTGAAAACAGGATATTGGCCACATAACAATCCTGTACTAGCGCTCTGTTAAAATATGCATGTCTGTAGCAAAGTACATAAACATAAATATACACTCCTGGGCAAAAAAATGGGTCAAGCCCAAAATCTAACATTTGAAGAAATCAAAGGGAAAAGTTGTCCCATATTAAGTTACTTTATCTTCTATCACCTATCAAATTTCTTCAAATGCAAATCATTAGACAGCTCAACATGCTTGGAGGAGAACACTAATTGCCAGTTCTAATGGGGGGAGACAGAAGGCCAAACTTGAAAGAGCAAGGCCAATTATATTCTTTTGGACTCCTAGCCACAGATGGCTGTGGCATCACTGGGAATTGGTAGGGCTAACCTAATAATAAAAGTATTATTTACTGTGCAGCCCTACTAAACAGTATGTCAAACCATGTCAGAAACCACAAAACAAGTCTATTTGCAATTACTTAACAATCTGACATGGTCTGAGGTAAATGGTGATTCTCAGAGACCACGTCTTAGCTGACCAACTATATTTTTGGTAAGAAAAATGATGTAGATTTGATTTTATGCCTAACTACTGCTTTAGGCCTACTTGCCTGGTTTCCTGTAACATTTGTCATTTAAACATGAACATTTCTCCAAGTAGTGTGCCAAGTTATTCACCTGCCCTTCAGAGGTGGACAAATCTGTTCTGGATATCAGCTCATCAGTGGATAAAATTCAAGATGCAAAAACAATGTCTGTATGTATGATCTGCCATTTTTCACCATGAACCAAACTGTCCATACTTCTTTATTCATCTACTGGAAACAAATCAACTGGACTGTGCAGGAAATACAGTTACGACTGTTTACAACAGATCAAGATAAAGTATCGGAATGGTCCTACCAATTAGGATTTAAACCCGTATCAGTGCTTTGTACCACACATATGTTTTGCTACATAGCATCCAACTTTATTTCACTGTATTCTAGATTATAATTCAGCTTAAACTGTATCTTTTCTACAAACCTGATAACATCACCCATGTAAACTGCAGTATTAATGGCTATATTCAGAATGAGATTTTATACTCTGTACTATAAGAGCTGGAATGCATGCAGATATATAGACTGTTATAGAAACAAAGCTTTGCTTATTGACTTTCTCAGTACAGATAGCTCAGTAATAACTATTCTGTTTTCCATTTTTCATCCTCCGTCTCCAGTTGTTGTGTTACACAATGATTTCCGCCCCCACACAATGAATCCCACCCTTGTTTACATCACCAATATTGTTATATTGTAAAATTCAGACTCACTGTTGCTGCAAAGTTGCATCATTCTGTGCTCTGAAAATGCTTAAACGTAGCTTCTCTTCTGGCTGTGTTTGACTGAGCATGTAGGTTTATAATGTGGAACCTTATATAACTAACTTAAATTTCATAAACGTTTATCATCAGTAGTAAATTGACAGACTGAATTTATACAATGCTTTCTCACCACAATATCATAGTTCTGTTTTTGATACATAAACACATCTTCAGTGAGTGTGATTTTGTTTCTGGTGATTTCCACTTCATAAGGTTTTTCACAGAGTTTTTTCACTGTTGGAGATTTATGAAGATAAAAATAGAAAAAAAAAAGAAAGTTGTCTCTTGATGCATCTCTTATGTGTCTTTTATCATCCATTCACCTTCTCTAAGCTCATTCTCAGGATTTCAATTATAATAACTGTATTTTTAAAATACCCCTGATCTGTCTTGGTGAAACTGCTGTTTACAAAGCCAAACTCCCTTTCTTATTAGTGGGTTCAGCTATTTCAGCCACACTCACTGCTAACGGGTGTGAGAAGAACTATTTATCGCAAGCTTTGTGGCTTGGATTTCAGTGGCTATTCAGCTGCACAGGAGCCAAAGATCACAATGTGCAATGCCATGTGTCGGCTGGAGTGGTGTAAAGCACACTGCTGTTCCACAGCAGTGGAAATACGCTTCAGTCAGTCTCTAATCTGGGTTTGGCTAATAAAGAGTGCTGGCTGTAAAGTTTGGTGGAGGAGGAATAATGGTCTGGGGCCCTTAGTTCCAGTGAAGGCAAATCTTAATGCGACAAAGGTGAGGCCAATTTACGTCTTTCTTTGTGGAACCCCACCTCTTCCTCACCATGCAAAGTTTTTCTGACAATTCCCCGTACACAGCTAGCATGTACTGGTATGAAAAATAATAATAATAACAGGAATGTTATTTCAAGAATATCCTTCGCTAGATAATCTCGTTTTTAACTTTATCTTCTGAAAAGATGCAGTAGCCTACTTGAAATGCTCATTAAATACTATTCTTATATTCTTTTAAGGACTTTAAACATTTATAGGCAAAGTAGCAAAAGTGCCTATTGGTCTTTTCATACGTTCCCACCACATCTGAACCAAGATATCAAGAACACTGAATTCCTGGTACAGATGGATTACAGCAAAATATAGCAGCAGTCACAAATATGAACATCTACTCCTGAATATAAATTCATTATTTACTTATTGCCACACTTTAGTATGATAGTGAAGACATCCAACTATGAAAAAACCTATAGAAATATGCACGGATCAAAATGGCATTAATTAAAAGCTCCCTCACCGAACATGCTTGCATAAAATGGTTACAAATATGCTGCCTGATGCCTGAGACATTGTTTTACAATACTTTTGTGGTAAAGCTTCTGTAATAAGGTAAAGTAGTTCCCAAAGAATATATGTTGTAGCGTTGGTGCAGAAGAAGACACGGACAACACAGCACATTCCGGCAAATGCTCCTTTTAGTCTGTGGCAGTGAAATACCCAGACCAGCGCTAACCTAACACAAAGCACAAGGAGGGGTAACTAGTTACATTACAAAGCCCACCCTCCTCAGACACAATTACTCTAATAAAGACAACTACTCTGCAACACTGCAACAGCATCAGAAACAATAAAACTGTTTTTCCATTGCGTGGTTCGGCTCGACTCGGCTCGCCTCCACTCGCTTTTAGTACCAGCTACTTTGTTTTCCACTGCAGATATAGTACCCCCTCAATGTAGCTGGCTGTCACAGCGACACCAAATGAAACTGCTGAGACGAATTTTGATCAGAAGAGGCTGATTGCAGTACGACAAAAGACTGCTGACAAAAAAACAGGAGAGTTTGGGAAATACTACATCAGAGTTCAGATGACGAGATGATTCTGGTTGCTCAAAAAGGGTGGTGCAAGATGGTACGCTATTCTAGCATATGTGTTTAGCAATTGTCTCTAACCAATCAGTAATCTGTAGTGATTTCACGTCACCTTTTGGTATCAGCTCAGCTTGCTTGGAACCTCGACTGAGGTGGTACCAAAATTAGTACCCAGTACCAGGGAGCCTAGTAGAAAACCAAAAAAGGCGAGAAGAGTCGAGTCAAGCCAAGACCACACAGTGGAAAAGCGGCTTAAGTGTCCTTTTCACCCGGTGGTGTAGCGCATTCCGAGAGCCGCTTTGCATGGCCACACGTCTAGGCTCTCCATGGCAGCGTGGCCTTTGGCGATGCCACAATGGCTTTGTTTACAGGCAAAGATATTCGCCAATCCGATTGAATTCATTTCGATTATATATTAAGACTATATACAAGAGTGTTGATATGCTCACTCTACTCAACAATCTCAATACGTTCATTCGTAGAGCACCACTTGAGTCCAGTTAGAGTGAGACGAGCAGCGGTAAGCAGTGCTTGTGTTTTTAATTGCTTGCTTTGTAATATGCCGATTTGAGAAACTTCCATCTGTTTTTAATTCATTCTATAGTTCGTGTAAACCCACTGTTGTTCATTTACTCATTTACTTGTCTGAACAGCTCATTATTGCAAGCTTTACAGCCGTCCATCCTGCTAACTATTTTAAGTCTTTTAAAGTTTGAAGCATAAACTTTGCCTCCTCTGCAGACCAGTTTTGGGCTCCCACCATGCTGAACGTTATAAATTTCCGTTGTGGCGCAAACATACTTAAACTATCTGTCTGGGAATGTAAACACATACAGGTGTTTACATGGTTATTATTCTTCTGTTTAACAGATTATTTACAGGATTACCCACCTCGTTCGATCGGACAGAAATTGTGTGCGGAATGGCCTCAATCGGCCTAGTCTATTCCGATTGAGCTGCATACATGGACGTATTCTATTACAATTGAGCTATTAGTTGGATTATTAACGGACTATCAGGCTACACGTAAACGTGGCTAGTGAGTGTGTTTACATGCACTTAATAATCCGATCATTATCAGATTTTGGCAGTTGTCAGATTATTTAAGTGGTCATGTAAACAGGATACTCGGATAAAGGCCTAGAAATCAAATTAAGAAATCTGAGAGCTGCATTTTAGCTCAGTAAATGGATTTTTCAGCGCATGTAAACTCTTAGTCTGATTTCTTTTGTTTTTTGCATGTGCAGAAACAGAGTGCTGTCCCAGAAACAGCCAGCAGTGTTTAACACAGCACCAACAAGATGACAAAAGGAGCGGTGCTGAAATCAACTTGCTTGACGAAATTAAGAATTCTTCATCTTCTAGACTGAAGTAATTTAAGCTAAAGTGACTCAGCGTAGAAAACAAATACATGGCATGTAGAATTACTGACAAAATCTGATTTTCTGCAGGTCTCTGATTGTTAAGTCCATGTAAACGTACTCAATATTTTGTTGGCTTTGCCACTATCTTACCATTACCACCATTATGTATACGACATGTGTAGGTCCACTGGTTATGTTGGTTATAAAATGGCTATACTTGCCATGTACCCATAACGACTCCTGGTTCCTATCACCTCCACTGTAAAGAAGTGTGAATAGTAAGTTTCTCTACAATGAATCATTTCACGTTAAACCACTCTGTGTGACGTTTCTTACATCTCATTGATTAAATTATGCAGAAGAAAACGTTTAAATCGGTAGAATTTCCCTGGAAGTAGATGTGACAGAGTAAATGTAACTAGTTACTCTCATCTGGTGCAGTAAGGCTGTTTGTATGAGGACAGTGCAGTACTGCACCGCTAGATGGCGGTAAACCGATCCCCTCGTGACTAAATGAAAACACTCCTCTTTGCCTTTCCGGGTTGTTGGCGTCTGTCAGGATCAAAACAGCTGAAGAGAAGCGGAGGGTTTTCCTTTCACTTTTCCTCTCAGGCCGTTTTTAGGATCTTGTAAACTCTGCACAGCATGAAGAAGTTCGTCAGTCCTTCTGAGCCGACATGCTGAGAGGAGTCCGTTAGCTGGCAGCGTCCTAGCCGAGCTGTAAACCCGAGTGTGAGTGTGAGTGTGAGGAAGCTCAGCTGGTGGTTTTGTTAACCTCAGAAAAATCTTATAATCACACAAAACCGAGAACATCCACATAATCTCATTTTACTCATAATCGGATTAATAACGTGAGCCTGCCATGTTTCGCTGTCAGAGTTGTGAGGGGTGTTGTTGACGAAGCTGAAATCAGCTGCTTGTTCGCCAACTCAGCGTTGGAATTTTTCCGTTCCACCTTAAATGGTGCAGCAGTCGGAGCAACATCAGTCGCCAGAATGTAACTGCTGTACCATTTAAGGTGGAGCGGAAAAATTCCAACGAGGAGCTGGCGAGTTGGAAGCCAGTTTCATCCTCGTATTGTTGTGGGGTGTCAGCTCGGCCTGCTGTGAGAAAACGCTGGTTAATAACAGGCTAATGTAGCATAATCCACAGTAACAGAAGAGAAACATGACTGCGTTGTGGTGATGTGAGCCATAGGTTTACGGTGAAAGGCAGCTCAAAGTGCTTAACGTAAAACATAAGGAGAAGATGGTGTGTTTATTTTCTCAAATTCCTGAGTTAAAAGGGGTAGGAATGAAAAATAAATTCTTAAAAAAATTAAATTAAATTATACAAATAAAAAATCACACAAAATAATGAAATTGGTAATAAAATAAATGAATAGATAAAATAAAACAGAACTGGAAACCACAGTATGAAAAATAATACAACACTAAACTAAACTAGAAAAGCTTATGTAAAAATATTATTTGAATGTTCTAAAGTGTTAGATTGGTTTTTAAACTTGCTAACTGAGGAAGCTTGTTCTCTGTCATGGAATATATTTATATGTAGATATATTTTTTATTAAACCTGATTTTTCACAGTGGAAGCATTTATGTCAAAGGGAAGTTCCACCGATTTTTTTTTTTTGCATTAGTCAATCATGGAGATGTAACTCCATGTATAACATTCAGAGTGGTTTGATTTGACATGGTGCATGATAGAGAAACGCACTGACTTTTTTTTACAGTGGTGGTGATAGGAACCAGGGTTTGCGAAGTCTACAATGCAAATCTAGCCATGTTGTTTACTATCTAAAATGACCAGTGACCCTACACGTCTTCTATACATAATGATGATAATGGTAAAATAGTGGTAAAGCCAAACCATATCTGTATAGATTTTCCACAGGGAACTATTTTGATTTACAAAAAAAGTGAGCATTTCACATTTTTAGCCTTTCAATTACACATAAACAACATGTGAGAGTTCTACTGACAGTTTTGGTAAGATGTCTTGTTCACAGTGTGGTGATTGGAATCAGAGGCCTGAAGAGTTTAACGCCTCTAAAACCTCCCTCACAGAAATGTATTACATGAAATGGTTATGAATATGCTCGGATGTAGTTTCACCAGAAAGTGTTGGCCTAAAACTTGCATTTTTAAAATACATTAATAGTTAAGAGGGTGTTATACAGCAAAATGGTCCCCAAATAAAATTGTTACTATTTTATCAAAATTACATATAAAAACTCAAAAGACTTAGGTAGGTTTATGAGCAACTAACCAATACTGAACAACTCTGACTCCTACACAGAGTCAGAGTTGTTCAGTATTGGTTAAGTGTTCACAGTGGTGGTGATAGGAACCAGACGTCTGAAGAGTTTGACGCCTCTGAAAGCTCCCTCAAAGAAATGTATTACATGAAATGGTTATGAATACACTGCCTGATATCTCAGACATAGTTTACAATAGTTGTTTTTTTAATATATTCATAGTTAAGAGGGCAAAATAGCCCCCCAAAAAATTCCTACTATTGTACAGTTATCAGCATTACGTATTAAGAAATCCAAAAGACCTGTGTGGGTTTATGGGTCATTTTGGGTAGTAAATAAAATGGCTATATTTGCTTTGTATCTTGATGTCTGGTTCCTATCTCCACTATTTAAATAAATCTGCGTTTCTCTAGTGAAGCACATCAAACCACTCTGAATGACTTTGTTTACATCTCAGTGATCGATTCATGGAGGAATTTTAGGAAGTCAGTGGAATTTTTCTTTAACCACTTTACTGGATGGTGTTGTGTGCCTACAGACTAAATACGGCACATTTCATCATGCCTTGGTATTTTTTGTGTAAGATATGTATTTCATCAGTTATTGTTTTTCACATCTGAGTAAATCTTCCCTTTGCAGTGCAATGCCAGTGTCACTGCAGCAGAAAGTTGGCACATCCTCCAGCTCAGAGTTTCCCCCAGACTGGGAAGATGATGAGCGCATGGCCTTCTTGTTCTCCGCCTTCAAGGAAAACCGTGAGGTGGACACGACGGACTGGGATGGGAAAATGAACTTCTGGTCCCCGCTGATCGTAGAAAGCTGCCGACGGCGAGGATCTGTTTGTGTGAGCCTGCAGGAGCTGAATGAAGGTTTTCGAAGAAAGGGGGCCATTCCTCTGGGCCTAGGAACAGTCGTTCAGAGTATGATCAGGTACACTGGCACCATTAATAGTCAATAACTTCATCTCACAATGCAGGAAAAGAGCTTATTGTATCATGAAAGCTCAGATCCTAAACGTTTACATTTACAGTTCACAATACAAGAACTACTCGTTTTGAATTTCAAGCCTTTTGCTATTTTCACTGATAGAACATCAGTCAGTCGTCTTACTCTCAGTGCTCATTGTATATGATGAAGATTCTGTGCCAGATCTTAAAGTAGTCATAAGTGAAAAACGCAAATTGCCCTGTTCACCTGGCATTAACACATCTCGGGTGATGTGATCATAAGTGGACAGCGCTAAGTAGAGGTGTGGACGGGATCAGTGTGTCTCGGAAACGCATTGTGATCCAGTCACTCAGACCACCTGTGTAGGTGGTCAGGGACGCATACGGCCACATAACATCTGTAGTGTTATGTGGTCCTACATTCAGCTTCCCAAATCTGATTTTGTTGTTTGGTCATTTATATTATCTTTTTAATTTGGCCTTTATCTGACATCAGACTGAACAGATCCTGCTTGTAAACTCACTCGAATGGGCAAAAGAACACTGATCCACCCAACATGCTCATCCAACGAATGTAGCGTAACTCCTCTGGTGGCAGATTTAAACGAATAGCTTTCTGTTTTTTAGGCCCGGTACCAGGTTCATGTGGTTAATATGACCAGGGATATTAACTCAAAAGATCAATTTTGATTCAATGTTGACTTTACAAAGCAATTTTTAGAATATGTTCAGCATATTGCTAAAGTAATGTCATTTGTGTATTGCATTCCATGCTGACCACTTTGAGATCTGATGTTGAATCTTTTGAAACTATTACTATGATTTTTTCATATCCAGGAGTGGGAAAGTGCAGAAGGAGTCGGATTTCGCTGCTAATGTAGATTCTGGCTGGTTGTCTTGGGGTGTCGGGCTGTTGTTGGTGAGACCGCTGAAATGGACACTGTCGGCTCTGCTGGGCAGCGGGAGAGTTCCACTCGAGGAGACCTTTGTGGTGATTGAATTGGTTAAAGTAAGTTGCTAACAATGTGAGCCACCGTAAACTGGGAGAACATACACTGATCAGCCATAACATTATGACCACCTTGTTTCTATCCTCATTGTCCAATTTATCAGCTCCCCTTCTATATAGGTGCACTTTGTAAGTTCTACAGTTACAGACTGTAGTCCATCCGTTACTCTGCATACTTTGTTAGCCCCCTTTTACCCTGTTCCTCAGTGGTCAGGACCCCCATAGACCCTCACAGAGCAGGTACTATTTAGGTGGTGGATCATTCTCAGAGCTGCAGTAACACTGATGTGGTGGTGGTGTGTTAATGTTGCGCTGGTCTGAATGGATCAGACACAGCAGTGCTACAGTCTGTAAAAGTGCACCTATATGGTAAGTGGAGCTGATAAAATTGACAATGAGCGTAGAAACAAGGTCATAATGTTATGCCTGATCGGTGTACATTGAAGTACTTTATAATTAAATTTCATGCTACTTGTTTGTTGTAGGAGAAGGCCACCGCATTGCTGGCTGCGTATCGGAACTCTCCTTTGGCGGGACAGTCTCTGCTGTCCTTCCAGGAGCTGCGCTCTCTCTCCTCTCACATCTGCCCGGACGAGACAACTCTGTGCCTGGCTCTGCTGCAGCTGCAGAGGGAGAAACATGTCACGGTCTCGCTACATGAGGGGGAAAAGGTGTGTAGTTGTGCAGGGTGTGGCAGAAGAGCAGTAGCCACTTATCCAGATGTGCACAGTTTCTCATATGTAGCATGTTTGGTGTCTGAAATTTGCTTTGTTAGTTTTGCACTGGAGCTACAAGGCTAATGTAGCTAAAAAGTAACTGAAAATCATAGCTAGTATAACGACTGTGCGCATGTTGCTTTATTAAATGGGTAGTTTTTTGCTTAGAATTGTGACCATGATTCCTAGATGTGCTTATTCAACATAGCAATTTTATGAAGAACAATATGGATATTTACCAAATTCTCACACAGCAACTTGCAACACGCACCACTTCTTCTGCCCAGTTAAACCAAGAATAAAACAAGAATAAGCCACAGTAGATCACATGTGGTCTCAGGGCCTCTGAGCCGTTTGATGGGATGAAGCGATGATGTAGCTATTCAGTGATTGGTTCTACGTCGACGCCGCTATTGTGCCACTGCATCTTGCCAGAACAAAAAAAAACAAGTTCAGTTCTCTTACACAGTCAACAGACAGACCGATTAGGCATAACATTCTCAGCACTGCAGTAACACTGATGTGGTGGTGGTGTGTTAGTGTGTGTTATGCTGGTCTGAGTGGATCAGACACAGCAGTGCAGCTGTAATTTTTAATCACCTCAGTGTCACTGCTGGACTGAGAATAGTCCACCAACCAAAAATATCCAGCCAGCAGCATCCTGTGAGCACTGATGAAGGACTAGAGGATGACCAACACAAACTGTTCAGCAGCAGATGAGCTATTGTCTCTGACTTTACACCTACAAGGTGGACTGACAAGGTAGGAGTGTCTAATAGAGTGGACACAGTGTTTAAAAACTCCAGCACCTCTGCTGTGTCTGATCCACTCGTACCACCACAACACAGCTCTTCTCGCCACAGAACATGTACAATTGTGACTAACAGAACCTACACTGACGCAAGTTTAGATGATAATGACTCTGAGGACGCAAAGTTGAGTGGCTGAGGGACAGAAGGCCGGAGTTAAACCTGTTCTGTGGTGTATGGACCTGTAGCGTCCTAGCTAGGCTAATCTTGCCTGGTTAGCTTATCTAGTGGCCTACAGATCCAAACACTACAAAACAGCTTCGATTCCCTCTGCTTTGCTGTTACAAGTGCAGATGACTGAAAACTCATGTCCTCAGTCTGACAGAGCAAAGTCAACTGATTGGTGTTGATCTGTAGCCTGCTGGGCTAGGCTAACGCAAGAGTGACGTTAGTTTTCAGACTAAAGGTTCTACCTACCACTGTACATCCTCCATTCCAGCTGAATGACACTCAAATAGGGCTGCAACAAACGACTAATTTGATAGTCGAATAATCTATCGATCACTGAAACGAATAATCGATTATTCGGGTTATGAATCACTATATCATCAGATAACTTTGATGTAGCTATTAGGTTTTAAATTTAGCTTAAGATTGTTTTATGCATTTACTAACCAACAATGAAGACAATAAAGATGAACAACATTCAGGAATTCACTGTTCTAATGAACTGTCCTGCTAATACAAAAGATAAAAGAATAAAACTCCAATATATTTTTCCTGTCAAAACTTATAACCAAGGATGTGCAAAGTAGCAGCAATAAAATATAACAAAACTAAATTAGTTTTCCTTTAATCAAGTTTAAAAAAAATCAATATACATTTAAATGTTAAACAGTGCAGTCTGTGCTCAGTGCATTCTGCTCTCTGTCAGCGCTTTGCTGCAACTAAATTCTGCAGTCGCAGGTCTTCAGTGAAAACGGAGGAAATTCTCCGGGCTCCTGTGAGAGTCGCGCTCTCCTCTGAGAGCTGATACTCCCGCTGCAGAGGAGATGCGCTCTGATGGAGCGGAGGGGAAAGTGGCAAATTTTACTATAAACAGTTAAATGAACGATTTTGTGTAAACGCTTAATTTCAGCGGTAACCCTTCGTCCAGTTGCCCTGTATGTCCGCTGAGAACTACACCCTGAAGCTGTTAGCGAGTGGTGCTAAACATTCGCGGAGAACAGAAACCTGTTTGGAAACGCTCTCCTGTGTTTGCCGAATCTGACCGCACCGGTGGCCTCGTCGCTGCGAATAATAGATACTTGATTTTCTGTTCTCCATTAACGATTCCAGAGAACCTGCATTTCGAAATACAGAAGTTACAGTTCAGCTCACAATAGGACAGAATTTAGCATTAGCGTTAGCTAACAAGCACACTAGCACAGCTATCGCCGCGTCCCAAACCACACACTACTGTACTTCACACCCTACACTAATGAGGGCACTTCTAATGGTATATGCGCTATTTTTACACACTATTTAGTGTGCTAGTATGCGATTTGGGACGGGGTATATGTTACCGAGATAAATCTTCTTTCATCCAGTGAGCTGAGAAGTTTCCTCTTTAGATGCCCCAACATGGAGGATGTGCTCCCATGCCAGCCAAGGACGGCTTTTTTTTCCTCAATTTAGTTCCACACTTTGGAGGATTTTGTTTTTGAGGCTGCCATCGCGCTGTTGTTAACTCTCCAGTGAGCGGTAATGTCAAAACGTTCCTAGTGAACACGAGAAAGACGCGTAATGACGTCACCAACCAGTCGACTACTAAATTAGTTGACAACTAATTTGGTCGACGATTTTAGTCGACTAAGTCGAATAATCGTTGCACCTCTACACTCTGGTGACTGGTGTTGGAGTGACAGCTGGAATCAAACATGCCCTGTACCGTTTAGCCTGTTAGCCATTGCTGAGCCACTCTTCTGTGTAGTTTTCTTCAATACTGCCTGGTTCTGACTTAGCAGCACAGCAGATGCATAGCAGACCTTTGTTATCTATATTGTTTGGTAATTTTTTCAATTTAATAAATTGTGTGTTTTGCAATTTAATAAATTGTGTGTTTACAGCTCATAAATACCTTCTTGTTAAAATAATAAAACATCTAGCGCTTAACCATGTGAAGTATACTGTAGCCGTATGTTGTCTTTTGTTTTTAGTAACTGATGTAAAGGTAAAAACCTTTAAGCCCCTGTTCATGATTCATGAATGAAGGTGTTCTGTGTGTGGAAGACTGCAGCACAGCTTTATCAGTTTAACAAGCTCGACAACAGTTGGGGGGTCTACTTTGCACTGCTACAGAATGTACTAAAGCTAGACAACAAATCAACATCAAATTTTTGTGCATCAAAACTTTGTGCAACAAAACTTTTGTGCATCTTAAAGCTACAGACGATTTGCTTTTGGACCTTTAAATCGCCTGACTTGCTTGACAACTGTGATAGATGGAAAACATCTGCAGTTGACGATACTAATTGGATCCAGCCTACTTCCATTACTTGTTAGCTACATTTGTCTTGTAGCTTCAGTGCAAAACTAAATAAGCAAATTTCAGATGCCAAACACGTCTTGGCTGATCAACTACTTAGGAGGTAACAGTTAAATTATAAAGCTATTATTATGCTTTAGTATTCATTATTAACTGTGCCTCTTCTTCACTTGTGGTACGGCCAGTTGGTGAAGTTCAGTCAGGCAGGACATGGACGTGTGTCTCCAGTCAGTGAGGTGGATTTGGGGATCTATCAGCTGCACCGCAGTGAGAAGCTGCTGGAGGAGAGAGTGGAGGAATTGGGCCAGGAAGCAGAAAAGTATGTTTATTTACATAGAAAAATATTATTTTGATGGAGTATCCCTTTTCTAACACAGTAACACTTATGTAATTTATTGGCATGTATTTACCTGTTTGTTTGTTTGTTCGTTTGTTTACATAGATATTTATGTGTTTCTTTTGTTTTTAGATGTAAAGAACAGGCAAAGGCTCTGCTGAAAGAAGGGAAAAAGTCTCAGGTGTGAACGATATTTTATTTTTAGTGTTATAGTATTTGAAAAGAAAGATTTTACGGAAAGCATCTCACTGTCCTCTCTTTCTGCAGGCACTGAGATGTCTAAAGGGGAGAAAGCGTGTGGAGAGAAAGGCAGACCGTTTGTACGCTCAGCTTGAGACAGTTAAGGGAATCCTGGACAGGATAGCAAGCTCACAGACTGACCGCCTGGTACGATACACATGTGAACTGACTTGCTGCCATTCTGCTGTCGTTCTTTCAGCTGAAACCTCATTCCTGTTTTTCTGTGTTGTTGTTTAGTCATAAATGGATAATAAGGTCATTTACAGTGGAAACTTGACTCCTACATTCTCGTCTATATCTGAGTGAGTTCGTGTGTATTGTAGGTGATGCAGGCATACCAGGCAGGCGTAGCAGCTCTGAGGATTTCTCTGAAGGGCGTAACGGTTGAGAGAGCTGAGAACCTGGTTGATCAGATTCAGGAGGTAAGAGTTTATGGTAATACCTTAAAGGAACCTACATAGACACTTCACAGCACATGCATAAGCATTGAATAATGTATTTATAAAGCAATGCTTTATAAACACACTGCTTTATAAATACATTATTCAGTGCTACATATATGAAATGCTCTTTACCCATTACATGGAACCTTGTAATGGCCCTTATAGTAATACTTATGAAGTTCTTATGAAGATAGTGTTATTAAGCTCTGAAAGCTTTTAGAAATTCCCAGAGCCCGTATTTATGTATGCAAAGTTTGAGCACCCCTGGTCAAATCAGAGTTTGTTGATTTTGTAAGTGAAAATTCGTTAACACATGCTCTGCAGGGAACACACTTAAATATGGCATTTTTCTGCTAATTTTATATTTTATATATTTTATATTGAACTTTTTATAAATGTAACTTATAAATATAACTTTTTCCAATATGTTAAGCAAATAAACAGTAATTGTGCATTAAAATATGCAGAAGTGTGTTCTTTGTAGAGGATGTGTTCACTTATTGTCACTTAGAAAATCAACAACACGTCATTTGATGAGGAGTGCCCAAACATGTGCATACGACTGTAAGAGCAGGTCTCATCATTTCTTTAATCTTGCTCTGTGGTTCATAGAAGGTGTTAGATGACCCCAGATCAGCATTTTTAAATTTGGGCCCTAGATTTTACATGTTCGTTTATTCATCTCTGTTCTTCCATTCTCTTTTTCTTGCTCTTTCTCAGCTCTGTGATACTCAGGATGAAGTCAATCAGACTCTTGCAGGTGGAGCCCTAGACTCAAGTAGGTTTTATGTTCTCAACAAATAACAAATAAAAAATGACTTCTATTAAAATTTTACCTCTCTGGTTTGTCAGTAATGTTACTAGACTCCACTTACAGCAGCTATACACAGTGTGATCAGGTTAAGGCTAATGACTTTATTGCTTTTATTCCAGATGAAGCAGATTCAGAGGAGCTGGAGGAGGAGCTGAAGTCTTTATTAGAAGAGAATGCTCCAGACACAAGTCTAACACTACCAGAGATCCCATCATACCCTGTCGCAACTAAAGAAACGGCTGTGCTGGGCGACACTTTCTTTCGCTCCCTTCCCTCCGTGCCTGATACTAGCATCACCGATGAGGAGCTGGAGAGGGAGCTCAGCCGAATCAGGCTGTGAGTTGCTGTCCTCTTTCTTTGGTTTATCAGTTACTAATGACACTCATAGGCATCCGATCAAAAGAATCAAATACTTTTTACTTCTTTGGTTGCGGATACATGTATGAAATTATTGAAATATTTAGATCATGTGCAGCTGTAGGAGGCTAGGAGAAAAAAAGTGTTCAGAAGCTCTCGATGATTTTAAAATGACAGAGAAAGCTGTATAAGCTTGAGAATGAAGTTAATGAAATAATTCTAAAAAAAAAAAGATTTGTAATTTAATTTAATGTAAAAAAAGTATAACTAATTATTTATGTATTTATATATATTAATAAAAAGTGTCCAGAAGCTGATGATTTTAAAATGACAGAGAAAGCTGAAAAACAATTAATAAAACAAAAAAAGATTCAAAAATATTTTTACATATACAACTTATAACATATTTATTTAATACATAAATAATATACTATTAATTGTCATTCATAAATATCCATTCATTTATAAATATTTTTCCTGATTTATTTTTATTATTATATTTATAATATAAATACAGAATAGAGTAGTAAATCTAAAACATCCGTTTTGTTGTGGAAATATATTTTTTAAAACTACACTGTATAAATGATTAACTTTGGAATGGTAGTGTTGATGGTTCATTGTCTTTCATTACAGTTCACTGCACTGTAAATTTGATAAATTATGTATAAATATAATATAGATTTAAATAAATGTTGACTTTTTTCTGAGCCAAACAGCCAAAAAAGTGCATCAGGTTTTGAAAACTTTAACACTAATGCCACCTTTCACATCAGAGCTCATGCTCGAACCCTACTCAGACACACGGTAGCTCCTGTGTGTGTTGGTGGAAGTTGTGCTATGATAACTTTGTCACTGTTACAACTTGATGAATCTATTTCTTCTTTCTCTTTATCTTCTTCCTGCATTCATTATATTAAATAAAAAAGCACATTGGACTTGATGTGAAAGTTTCAGCGCTTTAAATCCGTATAAATATACTCAACGTGAAAAGACCTCAAAACAACTATACATTAAAGAACAACTAAGCATGAAAAATGCTGCTACTGAAGGTGCTTGTGTGTGTCACATTCACTACTGTGTGTTCAAAAGGGTAAAACCAGGATTGGAGTTTCAGATCACGGATCAGCTCGCACAACGCTCACACTTACAAAATGAAAATAAAAATGCTAACCTCTACTTTTTACCATCTGAAAGTTTTAAGCTTACATGCTGTTTCTGTGTGAATGGGCTAATGCGAACATTGTGATCTTTTCATGTTTTTTTCTGTTTCTTATTCAGGAATGCAACATAAAGGACTGATGTTAGTGTTGAAGTGTTGGCATGACACAGCACAGATGAGAACAGATGGCACAATAACCACTGGACAGGCTGTCTACAGAGACTGCAGTTTACAGAGAAAGCAATCATATAGCCTACAGTGTATGTTCTTTTTTTTCTTTGTCATTATTCATGTTTGTAATGGCATGTTTGTGGTTTTCTTTTTAAAGAGAGTTTTAAGAGTGGCCTTTAAGTAAAAATGTATTATTCTAATAAAAATTATGATGCTTAACAGGGTATATTCACAGCTGAATCTGACTTACTGACTGATTGTTTTTTTTTTTAATGACAATGTATGGAATCAAAGCGTCATAGCAAAAATGTATCTACAGAACCAGTGTAACCCAGGCAAATGGCTTACGCTCTGCAGAATGGCTTTGACTTCAATGCCTTTGCAGTCAACTTGTTTCAAACAGAGGACTAGGCCTAAAGTGGTAAAATGTAGCTGATCAGCTAAAAGATGTTTGGTGTCTGAAGTTTGCTTTTTTTTTAGTTTTGCACTGGTGCTATGAGGCTAATGTAGCTAAGTAATGGAAGCTCACACCCCTGTATGATGACAGAGACCCCACCAAAAACTAGGGCTGTACGATATTGACATAAAATGTGTAGTTCGATAAAGCTGTGGGATATCACTGATGAAGATATGAGAAGTGATAAATTATTATTAATATAGTGTATCTCTGACTAGATATAATGCAAGTTATATACATAGTATATATGTTACTGCCTCACACACTGGTGATGAGAACCAGGGCCACAATGTCTACAACACAAATATATCCATTTTATGTACTATCCTTAACCACTGGTGAACCAACATGTTTCACTTGAGTTTCTATAATATACTTTGTTCACATCTCAAACATTAAATTATGCAGAAATTTAGAAAAATCAGTGGAGTTTCCCTTTAAGTTACTCGTCCCCCACGCAGGACAGCAGGGTTTAAAGTCCATCGCAGAGAAACGCTCATTGGGCTTCTTTTAAACTGCTACTTTTGTATTTTTACTCAAGTTGTTTTTGGAATGGTACCTTCACTTACAAATCACTATCTCACCAATACTTTTACCTGGCTAAGGCTACGCTAAACACTTATTTATTGGTAAAAAGGTAGTGCCATATTCTGTCGACCGCATGCCCTCACCAGAGCCAGTTGATGGGGAGCCTGGCCACCTAGTATTTCTCCTGTTATATCAAAAACATGACGACAAAATGCCAAAGCAATGGGGCTGAATGGAGCTAAACAGATAAAAATGAAAAGTTAAAATAGTTTCTAATCACTTGTCTGGAACCTTCCTTTCATTTTGGAAAAAAAGAAAGATGTATTTCACTAAAAAAGTAAAGAAAACTTAATTATATAGTTACTTTTTTCCTACAGCAAACGGTTATGGGTAGTAACATTACTGCCACTGAGTGCTGATTGGTTAGCATTACTGCTACTGAGTGCTGAGTGGTTAGCATTACTGCTACTGAGTGCTGAGTGGTTAGTATTACTGCTACTGAGTGCTGATTGGTTAGCATTACTGCTACTGAGTGCTGAGTGGTTAGCATTACTGAGTGCTGAGTGGTTAGCATTACTGCCACTGAGTGCTGATTGGTTAGCATTACTGCTACTGAGTGCTGAGTGGTTAGCATTACTGCTACTGAGTGCTGAGTGGTTAGTATTACTGCCACTGAGTGCTGATTGGTTAGCATTACTGCCACTGAGTGCTGATTGGTTAGCATTACTGCTACTGAGTGCTGATTGGTTAGCATTACTGCTACTGAGTGCTGAGTGGTTTGTATTACTGCTACTGAGTGCTGATTGGTTAGCATTACTGCTACTGAGTGCTGAGTGGTTAGTATTACTGCTACTGAGTGCTGATTGGTTAGCATTACTGCTACTGAGTGCTGAGTGGTTAGCATTACTGCTACTGAGTGCTGATTGGTTGGCGAGCGGAGCGCTCAGAAATATAAAAGCAGGGTTAAAATGTTTTATGCTATTCTGTGTTCTGGGAATGAATTGATTCCCCTCTATAAAAAAGTTTAAGCGCTTACAAACTATTAATAGTTTATAGTTTAATTAATAATTATTTTCTCAAATGCTCCTAATCAACCCATTCATTTCGGACTCGCTCGGGAGCGCCCTCTATCGTTTGAGAAACCCGGAAGACATTATAGGGTGGTAATTCTCCTCTCTACAAGTTCTCTGGTTCTCCTTACTACACCTGGACTCAGTCTATCGGACAAAACAGCGCCATCTAGTGTATTGACTGAAAAGCGGCCATTAACCCTGAATATTTAGTGATTCTCTTGCTGATCTAATCAGTGTTAGTCGGTTCTCTTCATAACGCAGGCTGTGATAACGGAGATAAAAAAAAGTCCAAAAATGAGAAAAATACAGAATATATTTTATCCTGGAAAATGGCCATTTTTTAGCTTTCCATTTATTCTCCTGATAATCAGAAGTTTTATTTAAAAACTAATCAGGTTACATACCTAAATAAATCCAAACTATTCAATAATCACCAAACACGCCCTTATGAAAAAGATCTATACTACAGGAATGGAGTACAGGATTCCTATAAGACTCTTAGTGAATTCAGAAAATTACTGTAGTTTCCCTGAAGGATATACACAGAAGTGTTATAGAAGGTGAAAATACTTTAAATATATATATATTTGTTATAGTATTACCATAGATCTTTTTTTGTAAATACTTTTGTAAAATTATAAGATAAGAAAGAAGAAAAGAAGGTACAGGAATCTTCAGATTGTACATGCACTCTAACATTTAACAACCTGTAAATATTTAGCAAAATAATTCAAGCTTTTTTCTACAACAAAACAAAAACAAGACATTGCTGATGAGGTTAGAATATACATTTAAGTACCAAATACACTTAAAAGTGGGGATGTACAAAAATGTACAGAAAGTGGAAGCCATATTTTTCTCAGCTCCTGACACGATTTAACTTTTCAATGAGTTACTAATAGTGAAATTGCTCCAGTTAATATTCATTCCTGCCTATGTAGAAACACCATACTGACAAAAAAAAACATTTATTTAATGAGACAACTAATAGTTTTTAAAGCCTGAGACGTCGAGCCTTTTGTTCAGCACGAGTAATACGAACACACTCGCGCTTAGTTCCACAGGTGGCTCAATCCCTTGTTTTTGATGATGCATGGATTATGAAGTACACGTGAAAAACACTGAATCATGATTTTTCTTCTTAAAGATGACATAATGAATAGAAACATAAAAGAAAAGAAAAAATGGGACGATGTACTTTACATTTTGTTGCCAACACCGTGCAGCAAGGGCGTGTATGGTAACCCCAATTAGTTAAAGAGACGCGCATGCGCACTCACTCGCTCACTCACTCCTCGCCTACCTGCTCCGTAGTTAGCTCGGTTAGCATCGGGCTGTTAGCCTGCAGTGCCGGGTTTTAAAGCTATTAGCTTAACCCCCTTAGCGATAGCCGCCTTCTGAGTATTGTAAACATACTAACTTTGCTGCGGGTCCGTGTGTAGGGGGTTAAATCTGTACATTTGTGTCCATTTTTTTTATTTAAAAGAGTTGACGCGCCTCGCCGGGATGGATGGAAGAGTGAACTTAGCCACACGCCTAGCTAACGGCTAACGGTGAGTAACTCAGCACTAACACGAGCTAAGCTGAAGTTTGCCTTGTTTAATACCAGCCAGGCAGGTTTATAGTCTGTATTTAACCACTTGGTCAGTCGTCAAGGTTATTTAACGTTATCTAGCTACTTACTTGAGGGACTGTTTGCCATCTTTGCCCATTTAGCACGATAGTTAACCTAGCAAGCTGACGTTACGTCAGTGGGTCAGTTTAATGTAACTGGTTGCCTTGAGCTGCTGGTGTGTTATAACAGTTAACGTTACCAGTCAACACAGTTGACTAAATGGCCGTGTGGGCCCACTCAGGAAACCTTAAAGGGATAAAATGTAATTTCAGCTTATTATATCGGTAAGAAGGCGTACAGCGTGCCGGCAGTTACTACGTGGTTAATAAATAACAAGCCAGTGACAAGGGACGGTATAAAACTACGTAGCCAGTTTGCATCGCATTATCTTTTAAGTCCATGTAAACTGGCTGTTAGGACGTGGTCGAAATACGCTTAAAACAGGTCAACAAGTCATTTCAGCCTTGGCTCGTGTGGCTGGCTTAACGGTGGAGTGAAGTTCTCTTCCGTGTGTTGATTAATCATGTGGACAGAAGGTTCTGCCACGTCCCCTTAGACGTGGCTCAGATTAGTTACAAGTTCAAGGTGCGTTTCTCTTGGTGATGTCCAGGCTAAGGATGCTGTCCAAAAGCAACACTGCCGTTCAGAGAAGGGGAGACAGTTTAAAGGCCTGAAGATCACAGCATTGGCCACCACTGGGACCTGTACACAATGGGAAGGTAGGTCCATGCTTTTGTTTTAGTTACGTCTTTAATAATGTTTGCAGCATAGTTTTCCCAGACTTACTACATCTACATGATTCAGGGGGACTTTATTGAGACAGTTGAACCAAATCATCTCTCAAACGTTTAACTTTTATTATGTTTCACTATTTGGTACTATTGTTAGGATTACTGAATGATGCACTGTACCCATATGGAAAATATAAGTGAGATGTAAATACATTTCAGATGCTTTGTTTCATTTTTAAATGTATTCAGAACACTAAAGTGACCATTTTCATGTGTATTTTTTAAATATATTTAATTAAAACATTTAGCATGACCCATATTTATTTTATGTATGATGTAATGTTGGAAGAGTCTGGGGTTTACTCGAACGTTAAAAATGAACTGACTGCGTGACATTTATGCTTTAATCACAGCACCAACGTAATAACAGAAATACAGGTTTTTGTTATGACAAAGTAGGCAGATGCTTAAACACATATTGCCTCTGTGTGACTGGAGTGTTGCGGCAGTGTGACTGCTGAAGCTCTCACGTCTTGACCTTTAACGCATACAGCATTTTAGCTGCGAAGCATTACAGCGGGCCTATAGCTGCTTTTAACCGAGTTCTAAGGTCACCCATTTGCCAAATGGATGAGTAGTTTATTTCATTTATTTTATTTTGCTTAATAAAATACGCTGTTTCAAGCCTGTAGACAAATTGAAAATAGGTCTGTCACGATTATGTAATTGCTTAATCACAGTTATTTGAACTGATCGTGGTTATACAGGCAGACTGCAGTTATTTTGTTAGCATACACACAATTATAGGTGTACATCACAAACAAACAAACAAACATTTTTATCTGATGCATTGAGGCAAATACATATAAATTAAAAAAAGAAAAAATACACTTGTTGAAACGCATAATTGGCCTTATGAAAATGGCCAAGTTCTGCCTTGGTGTTATAATACCATTAGAGGGCAGCGGTGAATAATGTTTGTTTATTTGAGCTCAGGCTGTTTGTGTTATAAAGTTGGGAAGTGCCACAGATAGGAAACAAGATAGCTAATCAGCTAATTCAGCCATTTTTGTTAACTGCAGTTATTTGTAAGACAATTGTCAGCTAAAATTCCAGAATTGTAACTGGCCCAATTGGAAATTTTTATGCAACCTGAAAAGTTTAACATTTTTTTTTTTCTTTCATTTTTATCATTTGTTTTGCTCTGTGCCTATCCTGTATATGCTGCGCTGATTCAGTGCTGTGTGTGGGACACTCTTCCGTGCTGTTTGTGCAGACTGTGAACTTTTTGAACTTTTGTGTAAATATCCAACAAATGAAAAGTCTTTTTTCCTGTATGTGTTTTATCTGCAGGATCAGTATCTCCTGCCTGTTTCCAGCATCATGGCACTTCAGCCTGTCTCCTGTAGTTCTTCCCCGACTCATGCTCCCCACATTCAGGCAGCTGCTCTTGCTTAGCGTCCTGGCAGCGCTCCTCGGTCTCCTCTACCTGCTGCTGGTCTCAGGGAAAGGACAGAACATCTGGGTCCGAGAAGACAAGCGCTACCACAGGTCGGCTTGCTTAGTTCACAAAAAAGCTTATTTAGCACATTTGTTGGGGACAGTGACAATGTCAGGTTGTCAGTGCAATACAAGTATAGATATAATGACAAAAATGTATTTTCTAAATTTCATTTTTTTTGTTTTTGATTTCAATTTGCTTTGAATTTTTAAAATATGAAGCTGATGCTTTACCAAGAGTAAAAGTAATGAAAATGCAGTTGATACGTTAAATAAAATCAAATGCTTGAAGCTAAAACAAAATTTGGTTTGACAAGGTAACACACTCCTTTACATAAAATATGGTAGACAGCACTAATTAGAAAGGCCAAGTATGTTTTTCACACTAACGTTGCCTGTATATCCATTTTAAACTGAAACAGTATTTTTTGCCAGGTTTTTGTTTTTGCTGTTAATGGAATTGTTTACTGTCTCATAAAAGGAAAGAAGCATGAAGCCAATATTGTGGTCTGTTCTCTGCTTTAGTCAGAATCAAACGATTGTTTCAAATCATTTCTGATTTTAAATTAAAATTCTACACATTTCTTTTTTGAAAATGTTTTCCATGTTTGATCTTGGAGATATATTTTCTGCTTGTGGAAACTGTTTTTCTGTTATGGTTATAGTTACTTGTTACCCTTGCTGTCGTCCTTTTGCTCTCCAGGCATTTGGCGCGGGTGACAGATGTGGAAGCCACGGACACGAGTAATCCCAACCTAAACTACGGTGTGGTGGTGGACTGTGGGAGCAGTGGTTCTCGTGTGTTTGTGTACACTTGGCCTCGGCATAATGGCAATCCTCACGACCTGCTGGACATCCGGCAGATGAGAGACCAGCATCGCAAGCCAGTAGTCATGAAGATCAAACCAGGTCAGTGTGGAAAGGCTAAGCTGGAAGGCACAAAATGCTGGTCCAGAGCTTTTAAACGAAGCTTAACCATGGCTCTCACCAGTAATACGTTCAGAGTCTTTGTCTTTGTCTCCTTTAACTAGTTAAAATCTGCCACCAGTGTGGTTACAGTGTTTACTTATGTGTCAAAACATCATAACACGTGTCCGCCTCTGCAGGTATCTCTGAATATGCAACTACACCAGGAAAAGCCAGTGACTACATGTATCCTCTGCTAAGTTTTGCTGCCCAGCACATCCCCAAAAACAAGCACCAGGAAACTCCACTGTATATACTATGCACTGCAGGCATGAGGGTTCTGCCGGAGAGGTGATTACATCCTAATTCTATTATAATGCCTGTATCAGTTGCTGCGAGTATAAATTGTGATTTCAACCTCATTCACTTTTATACCTTATTTTTGTTTATAGCCAGCAAGAAGCCCTGCTGGAAGATTTGCGGACGGACATTCCTGTGAATTTCAACTTTCTCTTCTCTGATTCACATGTGGAAGTCATTTCAGGAAAGCAAGAAGGTGAGACAGATTGTACAGATTGTTGCCAATGAAATGGGATGTTCAATTCAGCCAGCTTTGTGGGGTAATTATTAGGGATGCACAGCCAGTTGTGCCTTGATGCCGATATCTGATATTATTCGTGCACATAACAATTTATGCAGTTAGGTTAACATTTAAAGGTAATAGAAATTGGAACTAAATCTACCTGTGTTACAAATGCAGTAAACGAAATACAATGCAGACATTTTAGCACAGTCGCTGAAACGTTTAGCAAAGTTGCCAAACAGTTTTGCTCTGTCAGAGTACGGTAAATACGTCATTAGTCATAGGGTTGATATATTGGACTAATTTTAGCATTTATCTGATGCCAAAAGTTTTTTTAAAACAAATATCTGAAGCAATATGAGTCCAATATCATTGTGGCTCAGGTCAGAAGGGTTGTTTATCCCCTCTCATTTTATTTTTATAGGTGTATATGCATGGATTGGAATCAACTTTGTGCTGGGGAGGTTCAATCATGTAGATGATGGTAAGTTTTGCTGCTCTTTGTTATTAGGGATCCAAGCACCAAAAATGTAACAGGTGACTTGTTCATTTGTTCAATATGACTTTAATTTAGACTGAAACCACTTGAACACTTAAACATTAGTTTTTGCTTTTGTGTCACATTTGTTACTGCGTTTCAGAGCTTTGGTAGCTTTTTGACTTGCTGTAATGGTGTTCAGAAAGTCAGACTGAGAGTGAGTGAGAGCAGATCTGATATGAAGTACTTTGCTTTTACTAGTTCCATTCTAAAATGGAATGGTTGTCATGGGGCCATAAAATATGTTGTATGGCCTTACACTGTGGCTTTGAATTGCAAATGAAACCCACACATCACAGCAGTCAAGCAAGACTGTTCTACACACTGGTTGATTAGACCAGTTTCTAATAGTTATTTTCCAATAGAAGCAGCAGTCTTTCATAGGCAAAGGCCATCAGATGCCTGATATGTTCTGTACTCCTGAAAGCTGGGTAATGTTTTCCAGCTCTTACTTAGGTGCTGGTAATGTGAACCCTGTGTGGGTGGAACACTGCTCTTATCTTAGAGTGGAGGTCTTTTAAACACTACTGTATCCAAGGCCATCTTTCACAGATGTCTACTTTCTGTGTGCCATGCTTTATTTTCAGCGAAGGAAAGTTAAATGTCAGCATGACTTAATCTTTGCTTGTCCTTAATGTCAGAAAGCCATGTCTATAAATATTTTAACCTGTCACTGCTAAGCTCTGGGGCTTTGTGGGATTATAAGCTTTATTAAGACTCTGCTGTTGTTTTAAGTATGTTCGTAAATGGCAAACATGCAGTAGACATAAGTGAGATTTGTTGTTTTAGTTGTTGTAAGCATTGTTTTGAGCTATCGTACTTCCATTAGGCCAGGCATATAACTGATTCCACACAGCCCAACCTCACGTTCATAAATGTGTGTATTTTGTGTCTTTTGAGTTAATGGTCATGAAACTTCTTAAAGTAATAATGAAAAAAGGTTTTGTAAAAGTTTAAATTGTGGCTATGTGATGCTCTGTCATTGATTTCTTTCATATGTTGCATGTGAGTGCTTGATTTATCTATTTAGAAGTCTTGTTGGAAACATTTCCTGATATCTTGGACACTTGTGGCCTTATTTCCTAAAGTGATTGTAGCAGTGAGAGCATTTATCAGACAGCATTTGAAGTGATACTCTCTGTCATGTTAAAGAAATCATTGTGCTGTTTGTTTTGGGGACTTGTATGTGGGGTTTATAAAAACCTAGATATACACTATAGGGCCAGAAGATTGTGTATAGAATCACTGTGCACTGAGCCATGCAAATTCCATAGATAAATACTGGCAGTAAAATAGGTCTTACTGAAGAGCTCTGTGCCTTTAAACGTTGCACTGTCATAGGATGCAACAAGTCAGTTTGTGAAATTTCTGCTCTGTTAGATCTGCCCCAGTCAGCTGTAAGTGCTGTTGTTAAATGGAGGCGTCTAGGAGGCTATTGAGAACCGGTTTGGATCAGCAGGAGGGGCGCTGTGCTCCGTGTGATGAAAGCATTCACATGCCTCTGACTACCTTAACCATGTCTAATGCCGAATGTCATTCTGTGCTCTCCGTCATAGATAAAGCTGTAGCACCTGTGTCCTCAGAATTGTGTTGCCTTGTCGAAATGTCTTACCACAGTGCATATTTATAGATGGCTCCCTACATAAAACTTGAGGGAATAGTTTGATAGCTGAAATCACCTCATCCAAAAATCCTGTCAGTACTAAACTACGACAGGTGTTATAATAACTGCTGCACCATTTAAGATGGAACAGGAAAATTCAGACAAGAAGCTGGCAGACTGGAAGCCAACTTCAGCCTCGTGTTAAAACTACAGGTACTATAGTTTGATTGTCTGAATGTCGTTATCAGAAAATCCAGCATTTAAAGAATAATTAGGATATTTTGATAGCCTGAATTGTCCTATCAGGAGCTAAGCAGTAATATTAAGCTGAGTATCTACTGAATTAAAATTAAAATAATTCGCTAACTTTTAGGTAGCCTGAGGTGAGCTGTCCTGACAAACAGGGGTAACTAAATTTTGTTTTGCTTATAGTTGTTAATATTTTCAGCTGTAGAGAGATGACCACAGCTTTTTTTTAATCTTTTGTAATCTTTTCACATCTTTTAATGTCATGTCTTTATTTTTTGCACCAAATTATGGAGAGCAGTATCAGTAAGCGTATCATTAAATATCGGTATCGTAAAAGGATTTCTGTTGCATTGCTCATCCCAGAGTTCCAAACTGTGTCTGGAAGCAACATTAGCACAAGAACTGTGCTTTGAGAGCTTCATGAAATGGGTTTGTGTGGCTAAGTTCCTGCACACAAGCCTAAGATCATTATGCACAATGGCAAGCTGGTGTCAAATGGTACTGGATTCAAAGTGGTATAAAGCACCACTGGACTCTGGAGCAGTGTAAACGCTCCAGAAAATCACTCTTCACTATCTGGTGGTCTGTTTGAGGAATCTTGGTTTGGCAGATGCCAGAAGATCGCTATCTACTGGAATGCGTGATGCCATCAGTAAGGTTTAATGGGGGAGGAATGGTGGTCTAGGGCTGTTTTTCAGGGATTGGTCTGGGCCCCTTAGTTCCAGTGAAGGGTAATGTTAATGCCACAGCATAAAAAGACATTTTAGGCAATTATATGCTTCCAACCTTGGGGCACCAGTTTGGGGAAGGCCATTCCTGTTCCACCATGACTGTGCCCCTGTGCATAAAACACTTTGATAATTTTAGTGTGGAAGAACTCCAGTGGCCTAAATGAAGCTCGGACCTCAACCCCATGGAACACCTTTGGGATGAGCCAGGCCTTCTCATACAACATCAGTGCATAGGATGTCCAACAAGCTTATATAGGTGCGATGGACAAGTGTTCACATATGTTTGGCCATGTGTTGCTTGGCCCCATAATTGCTGCTATGAAATTGTCACCTAACAGCAGCGTTAAAATGACAATTTCTCCCTCCTTGCTGTATTTTGATTTCTCTTTTATTCTGTGGTCTTTTGTCTTCATAGATCATGAGGCTGTCGTAGAGGTGCAAGTTCCTGGTGGTGACCAGCAGGAGACGCTGGTGCGCAGACGCACAGCTGGAGTGTTGGACATGGGTGGCGTCTCCACTCAGATAGCATACGAAGTGCCCAAAACTGTAAGCTTTGCTACTCCACAACAGGTTATTATCTACAACAATTTCCATTCTTAAAGCCAAAAAGCTTGGTTTGGTCACTCACAACCTTTTCTCCCACCTCTCTGGTACATGGTTATCTTACCTTGCCCTTCCCTATGGACTGAGAAGGCCTGTAGAGCTGAGGCTCTGAGTTAAGATCAGCCTGCTGCATGATGCCACAGCAGTGTGTGGGTGTGCAAGGCCTAATCATTGTTCAAAGCAGCAAAGAAAAAGATTAAGTGCTTATTCTGATTCAGCATGTTTGCTGTGTATTTGGGGTGTTTGTGATTTATTTTTGCCATTGACCATATGGGGAATTTCCAGAAGTCTACCTTTTTATTTTACGTTGTCACTTCACTAACAGTCTATTAATTTATTAAATGCAACGCATCTGATCTAAGACCAGGTTGTTCCAATCGGGTAGTAAAGTCTTTTTTGAAAGTAAACATGTGGAAAGCTTTCTGTGCATGCTTATCACTGGCTGAAGGGCAAGATGAACTAGCTTCAATACACTTTTCCTGTTATATACTAAATGTTTCTGTTCTCTTTCAACTTCTAACAAATTGCGCTCCAGTGTATATGACACTGCTTTTGAAAGCTTTGCCTGTTAATGGATTGTAGTGTGTGTATACTAACATTAGTAACCAGAGTAAGAGTTTTTTTAAGCCTCTTTATCTGACCCAAAGCAAGCTTAGACGTGTCTTTTTGCCCACATGTATGTTTCTATTTGCATTTACAGGAAGAGGTGGCTAAGAACTTGCTGGCCGAGTTTAACCTGGGCTGTGATGCTCATCGCACGGAACATGTCTACCGGGTTTATGTTTCAACATTTCTGGGTTTTGGTGGGAACGCAGCCCGGCAGAGATATGAGGAGCAGCTTGTGAGCAACACGATCCTCCAGAACAAGTGAGAGCCACAGTGGTGTGAAAATGTGTCTGAATGTGGTGCATCTGCATTAAGGCTGGACAATATATATTTATCATTATTATGGTAAACTATGTCACAATAAGCTTTTCTGTGCATATCAAGGATATTGTGAGTATTTAATGAATGCTGATCAGCTGCGAAGAAAGCATACTTAGTCCTGCTTAATTGGATTTAGTGCAGTTCAGTAAATGCGTAAATGTCTTACCTTGCCCTTTCTTGGCTGTAAGTCTACCTTTTTATTTTACGTTGTCACTTCACTAACAGTCTATTAATTTATTAAATGCAACGCATCTGATCTAAGACCTTTTTGCCTGTTCCAACATATCAGATGTTAAAAAAAAATCACACATTGAGTAGTGTGAAAGTTTCTTATATTTCAATTGTTTTTTGCCTACTACTGATCTAGATTGATTTTGGATTGTTAGAGTTGTGTATAATTTATTAGAATAATATTCAGTGAGTATGCACTCATTTATTTGCTGTAATAAAGAATTGTAACTCAACAAAATTGTTGTGAGGTCAGAGATTTACACGTGTAATTGGTGACCTCACCTTTTCTTATTGTAAATCCTAATGTCCCCTCTGGGGACTTCTCTGTTCTCAAAGAGTAAGAAACAGCACTTTGTGCTTTTTTTTTTTGACATTGTTGTTATTGTTACATGATACTGTTTTTCAAATTAAGGAGTGAGAAGCTGTTACACATTCTCCAATTCCCCAATTTTTAAGGATTTCTTTCATTTCTTCATCTGAGATGTAAACAACGTCATTCAGCGCGGTTTGATATTAACATACAGACTTAGATTTCTTTACAGCTGTGATAACAGGAACCAGTGGTCACTATGTCTGCAGCATAATTACAGCCATTTTATTTACTGTTTTGTTTACAACCAGTGAACCTACACGTTTTAGGAATCAAGCAACAAATTCATAACCATTTTAATGTCATTTTCTTAGAAATTTAGAAAATCCACAATTTTGAAAAATCATCAGAATGCCACTTTATGTTCCCTCTTAATTTGGGGACAAAAAGTCCAGCTGTCATTTTATGTAACTGTGTAGCACTGTATGTAAAGGTTTACTGAATAATATCCATTTTTATCAAATTTTGTTGGATTGTAGTGGACTAGTAGTGCATATTTCTATCTCACGTGTTGTCCTCTGTGTGCAGGCTCTTGGGTAAGCATCAAGGCGAGAGCGCCGACTCGCCCATACTCGACCCCTGCATGCCCACTGACCTCGAGGACGAGGTGGGCCTCCCCGGCCGGAAGCTGCACCTTCGTGGGACCGGAGACTTTGACCGCTGCCGCCTTCTTCTCCAGCCATTTCTCAACCGCACCAATGAGACCAGCACCTCGTTGAATGGGGTCTACCAGCCCCCCATAGACTTCAGCAACAGCCAGTTCTATGGCTTCTCTGAGTTCTATTACTGTACAGAGGATGTGCTGCGCATGGGGGGTGACTACAACTCCACTAAGTATGCCAAAGGTGCAAAGGTGGGCTTAAAAGGACACTTGTGTGTTTTAATTTTGTATGAAAGTATCTACGTCTTAACCAATTTTAGTTTTTAGGGTTTGGGTTGTTCGAGTCCCACTTGGAATAAACCCACATACTCCACATATGAATGTTTTTCATACTGTAACAAAGCTGATTAAACTCATTTGAGGTTTTCTACTGACATATTTATGCGTCTCGTTCTTTCAAAGCTAAAGGAAAAATTGTATACATACGTATATCTATATTTAGAGCGCTTTATTAATTGTAAATGATGTTGAAGACAAAAAAAAGGTTACACAGGATAGATTCAGTTTAGCCTGTCTAATTCTTTTCTTTGATGATTGCAGGACTACTGTGCCACCCAGTGGAAAATTCTAAAAGAACGCTTTGATCGTGGTCTGTATGCTTCCCATGCAGACCTGCACAGGCTAAAGTATGTTACAAACGCTCACCTTCCCACCACAAATTAGATTAACATATTAGAGTGACAAGCTCCAAAAGGACAAGAGAAACAGGCTCTGTCTTCCTCTCTTGACAGGTATCAATGTTTTAAGTCTGCGTGGGTGTATGAGGTGTTCCACTCAGGTTTCTCCTTCCCTTCGGGCTACGACAACCTGAAGACTGCACTGCTCGTGTATGATAAAGAGGTGCAGTGGACTCTGGGAGCCATCCTGTACCGCACACGCTTCCTACCTCTGAGGTACCTCCACCTCACTTCATAACACTACACAGTTTCTCTTGGTCTTTAAAGCAGTGCTTTGGTCCAAAAATTGAATTTACAAATGTAGTTGATTGGCCAAAATGTGTGGTATGCAAAGTAATAGAAAATTATACCCCAAGTATAGCGTTACGCACACAAAGCTGTTGTAGCTAACCAGAAGCTTGTATCCTCCACTTTAGGACAAAAAGGGCTGATGTAGCCAACATTGTGCAAACTAGGCTAATGTACAAGAAATTAGCCTGATTGAAATGTGTGCAGCCTGATTGTTTTTTTTTTTTTGTTTTTTTTTCTGTACTTTTGTCCACTTTTAGAGAGAACCATGTCTGCCTTGATTAATATGAAGAACTCATAGTGATGCTTTCTTTTGTGACTTTCTCACCATGTTCTCTAATTCCTCTGCCTTTCTGCTTCACAGGGACATCCAGCAGGAGAGCCTGAAGGGCTCTCACTCGCACTGGCACCGCGGCTTCACCTTCATGAATAACCACTATCTGTTCCTGGCCTGCTTCTTGGTGGTGCTGCTCTCCATTCTGCTGTATGTGCTCCGGCTGAGGCGCATTCACCACAGGGCTACCCTGCTACGAGGGACCTCTGTCCAGTGGCTAGAGGAGGGACTGGGCTCTCCAGACCTGCCCGTCACTCTATAGAGCTCCGGTCGCTGTCCGCTGTGCAGTCAATAACTGGAGGAGAGCTTTGACTCTCCAGACTTTTAATAATAAACTGTACAGCTTGGGCCCTGTGAATCAGCTCACCTGTCCATTTGCTAGAGGAGGGCTTGCACTTTCAAAACCTTCACCCTTCATGGCTTTGTGCCTGCCAGTATCAACTGAATATCTCCCTTCATTCCCAGACCCCTTACAATGGACAACTTTCATATCAAATCGTTCTCTCAATATAATATTGACTCCTGACTTTTTCTGACTGTTAATGGAAGCTGCTGGCAGAAAAGGCCAGTGGAAAAACAGGCTTTCTGGTGCAATGATCCTACGTTGAGACTGCTGCGGAGTGCCTGGAGAGCTGGACGTGCGGGCCATTTCTGCCTGCCCACAGTTCAGCAATGAAGTTCAGTCTTTGTCTTGAATAATTTAAAGACGATGTTTGCTGCCTTTAGTTTTTAAACATTGCTGTTAATGTGAAAGGAGTTGAATACAAGGTTGGCATGAGGTCTGTGTATGTGCTCTCCAATGACGTAATACTCTCTCTGTCTGATAAGATTAAGCGGCAGCTGCCTCGCACCCATACATGCACACACTCCACACTTTTACATTCATCTGTTGGTGCCAAAGAGAAGAACATGAGATGCGTTTTAAGTCATTTCAGTTGAAAACCTGTTAGTAGGGATGGTTATTTACATTGGTACTGCCAGACAACAGATTAAAGTCAGCAGCTGAGGTTTGACATTTTAAAGGAATTCTAAAGTATTTCTCAACTCTATCTCTTGTCTGTGCATGTGTGTTGTACGGTCAGTTACCAGCAACAGTCATTTCAGTGCGTTTGCCCTGTATTTAGTCTTTAGAAAAGAACAGAAACAGAAAGTCATTGGAAACTACTGAATTATGTAGTGAATGATCATAAACTTTGCTTAAATAACCTTTTTTTTGATAATGTCATGGAAGAACCACTTGGAACATTCTTCAAAGAGATTTATGGTGTGAAGAACCTTTAAAAAGATAAGAAGATTAATGTGATGTATACCAATTTAAGGGTTCTTCCTAGAACCTTTATGTAATATGGAGGTCTAGGCCTGTCACGGTCATGAAATTTTAGCTGACAGTCAGTTGCCACAGAAATAATTGTGGTTAACAGTTGAATGTGGTTTTTTTTTCCCCCATTGTATGCAACTGTTAAACCTTTATTAACCTAAGGTGGCCAGATTGGCTGATTAGCTGTTAATGCTTAGTAGCTCCCAACAGAGGACAGAAACAGCTCAAGCTCAAGCTCAAATAAACAAACGTTACTCACTGCTGCCCTCTAAAGGGGTTATATCACTTGTCAGAACCTTTTCTTTTCAGGAGACCCATAATGTGTTTCAGTAAATGTTTTCTCTGCTGTCTTTTATTTACATACATTTGCCTCAATATAACTGATAAAAAAATACCCATATGACAAACATATAATTGTGAAAGTTAACAATTGTGATAATTGTGATCAGCTAAAATAACCGATCAGTTAGATTAATTGCGATCAGCCCAGTATGTGACAGGCCTGTGGAAGTCCTTTAAACTGTAAAAAGGCTCTTCACACCCACACAAAAGGTTCTCTAAAAACATCCAATGAAAGATTCTTCATCAAACCAAAAATGGTTCTTCGATAGCATTATGCAAGGAACCCAGTTGGCACCCTTTTGTAAAAAAGGGGAATTTCCAGGTTTTGAACAGCACAGCTGGGTCCGGTTACATTTGCTTTGCCCAGGGTTTTCTGGTATCCATGGCGATCAGGCAAGAATGTGTAAACCACACCAATACGCTGGTTATATTACCAAAAAATCTTCCGCCTGAAAAACTAGTTCTATCTGTAAAAGAATGAGTTATGCAGATTAACAGTTTAATTCATTTATTGATTGATGTGATATTATCAAAAATTCAAAGTCTATAAAGTGTGTTTCACAGAAGTGTTTCTTCACAGCCCATTAGTTTCCATTGTTAATCTGTTCTGAGGGTTTTCTGCAAAAGGGAAAACTGTTAGCGGTAATCAATGCAAATGCAGCACAGAGATTAGGTTGAATAGTCCTTCAAGATCTGACCGATACATAGTGCCAGCATGAGTCCATGTTTCTGGTTTTGACCAGTGGTTGGACTTGAGTCAAATTGCAAAGAGGGCATAGTATTTATTTATATCATCTGAGGTGCTGAGCCTTTTAATTTATGATCCACATTCGAATCAAAATGGATTTTGCCCCCCTCTTTCTTTCCCTGTTCAGTGGATGAGAACTGTGACTGTTCAGATAGTGATCAGTGTAGAGGTCCAGCAGAATACACCTGAGTTTACCTCTGATTTACTGTGACTTAAATATGAGTCACAGATTCTGTCTAGAATCCTCTGTTTTTGGCTCGTTCTTCTTGAGATAGCACTCACAGACAGGCCGTGCATGTATGAGGTACTGAGAGTACAAAACATGAGAGAATAATTGAATTTTTGTTTTGTAGTGACACTGTATTAATATTTATTGATTCTCTCCATGTACTGTTCAAGGCTTTTTAGAAAGGGGTTGTTTTCTAGCTTTATGCTTTGATTCTATAAGCTTAGTTCTGTAGTTGGTGCCAGTCTGTGTGTTTGAGAGATTGTGTGTGTGTGTGTGTGTGTGTGTGTTTGTGTCTGCCAGCTCCACTGTTCCATTTTTGGCTCTTTATTATTGCACCATTTGTGTTAGTATCTTTTTATTCCTTTTTTAAATGGGTTATTTAATAGTAATTTCCTGACGATTGTACATTTCTCTCTCTCTGTCTCTCTGTCTCTCTGTCTCTCTCTCTCTCTCTCTCTCTCTCTCTCTCTCTCTCTCTCTCTCTCTCTTTCTGTTTGAACTTGTAATAGCAATCAGAAGAGAACCAGTGCAATATTCATGTAAAAAGGAGTTTTCAGCATTGCAACTGCTTGTACAGTAATAAATTAAGGAGGTGAGATCCACCACACTTTTATTTCACTTTTTATTTCTTTTAATCTCTCTTGAGATACAATTCTGCTGTCTGTTATGTCAAAGTGACAATGATCTAAACTCCTCATCAGAAATATTAGTTTGTCGGTGAAACATGACTTGCCTTGGAAACTATAAAGGGGAATTCCACCAGTTCTAACTCAATCATCTAAAAGTAAAATCATTCAGAGCGGTTTGATGTAAAAAGCTTTGTTTTTGGAATGCTTTACAGTGGTGGTGATGGGAACCAGGGGTTCCAAAACCACCAGTTTTTATAGGTAACATTGATGGTCAAATAGCAGTAAATCTGAAAATGATATGCTTTCTTTGGGGACTATTTTGCCGCGCAGCACCCTACATGTAGCTCTCTGACAAACACATTTTAAAAATGTTGTGAAAGAATGTCTACGACGGGTGCACGACTCTAGTCCTGGAGGGCCAGTGTTCATCAGAGTTTGGTAGTTGCCATATTCAAACATACCATCTAAACCTGGCAATTAACAGATGAGTGTAATCAGGTGTGTCTGAGCAGGTCAGTCAGCACATTGTAGTGGACGTTGGCCCTCCATGTCCGGAGTTGGGCACCGCTGATCTAAGACTTTAAGCAGTGTATGTGCAACTATTTGAACATAACGTTCTGTAATGGCTTCAGACGTTTGGTTCCCATCACCACCACTGTGAACAATTCTGACTCAGCAAGTTTCTCTAGAACGGAGCGTTTGACATCAAACCACTCTGAATGACTCTGTTTACATCTTAACCATTCAGTTATGCAGAAATTTTGGAAAATCTGTGAAATTCCCCTTTAACTCAGCCAGGTACTGTACTGTTACTACTGGTATCTTGTAAAGAGTTTATAGTATTAAATTACCTTTATGTACTGATTATCTCTCATCAGCTGTCAGAGGCGGAGGATTTGTAGTGTGCACGCAGAAAACAGAACAATTAAACGACTTTCAGATTGACTTTTTACAGTGATTTTATTTCTCTGCCCTGAGAAATTATTTCTGAAAATAAATCCATGCTTTCCTTTGCTGTAATGCATGTTCACTTATTATGTCGGTTTCACAAGCCATCAGAGTGAATAAAGTAGCACACTGTTTATAATGCAGGGTTTACAGTCGGGCCCGACCTTTATGAGGATTTTGTCACTGATACTGATTGTAAGGAGCCGAATATGCTGATAAATTCTGATAATTATTAATTATTAACATCAGATGGTAGTTAAACATTGATATACAGTGCTTTATTCACTGACATGATTGTCAGTCATCATATTTCGTAAAGTATTACATTCACAAAGTTTTATATAATAGAAATATGAAAGAAGACGCTCATAAATGACCTCATGACATTAAAGCAAGTAAATGGTGCTGTACTGAAGTCCAGTCTCAGTTTCAGGAAATGACCAGCCTCGATCCTGTGATGGCTTAACTGGGTATTATTTGTTTATTGATGTTTATTGCTTCCAAAATTCAGTCGTCCTCTTGAGGGTTAATATATTACGACTATGTTTTATTTAATAATAAAAGTGTATGTATATTATTTCGTTTATATTCAGTTGACTGTAGGTGATGATTTTGAATAAGATTTAGAAAAGAAGAGAATTTTGACCATCATTTACTTCCCAAAGTTACAGTGTAAAGTTGGACTATGATATTATTTTAATATTATGTGTTGCCAAAAAAATCCAATATAAATTATTTATTATTAGGTATAATGTATAATGAATGATGATGAATATACAGTGAACTACAAAACAAATGTCAGGTTTTTTCCTTTCTTTTTATTTTTAAAATTCTGAAAAAAATCTTAATCTGGTCTCGGCCACTCCTGATCTCACTTGATGTGTCCAGGTCTCGGTCTTGAGTCAGATTATCTCACACACACATTAGTGGTCTTGATTACACTCTTAAAAAAGGTGGTTCTTCCAGGATTCCTTAGTAAAGGGAATGGTTCTATATAGAACCATTTCTTGCTTAAATGGTTGTTTGCATGGTGAAATAGTTCTACAGATTAATGGAGAATGTGTTGTATATTGTTCTATATAGAAGCTTTTTGGAAAGGGTTCAAA